GCCAGGACAGCGGAGGTTGTCCCACTGGCTATCCTAAGTTGAATGCACCAATTTGTAAGTTGCTCTGGATAAGAGCATCTGCTAAATGACTTAAATGTAAATGTAAATGTAACATTGTCTTTTCTGCATCCCAAATGGCACCCTATTCCCTTTATAGTGCCTATGAGCTCTGGTCAAAAGTAGTGCACTATATAGGGAATAGGGTGCCAGTTGAGAAAAGTCTTCTCAGAACTTCATATTTCTCCTGTCAGGCCCAACGGTGACATTCCAGCCTCTCCAGAGAGTGTAGGCTGGTGGATATCATGGTGCATACCAATGCTGCGACAGGCAACCAAGCCTGACGGGATTCAGTTTTGACAGACAAGGCTGTGGAGGAGTGAGACGGCTCCTCTGCTCTCCTCGCAATACAAACAATGAGAGACAATCTAGTTCTCATTCCGATCCAATCGAATTAACCTCATTCAAATCAACCAATCTATTAAGTGGAGCCATGAATTAATCATCACAGACGCTGTAGCCCAGACGAATGAGCCAGCAGGAGAGTGGACCAACCGGCCGGCCGACCGACGGGCCTGCTGCTCAGATACTGTAACCAAGGCCCTTTATTCCCCATGGTGTTGTTCATATCACTGTTCACCACTGGCTGGCTGAGGGAATGACAAGAGCGCCGCCCCGGTGGCACATAATGCACATCACAGCTACCCTCCTGAAGGTTTTCGCTCCAACCCCAGTTGTAACTAACCTGATTCAGCTTATCAACCAGCTAATTATTAGAATTCGGTGTATTAGATTAGGGTTGGAGTGAAAACCTACAGGACGTTAGCTCTCCAGGAACAGGGTTGGAGTGAAAACCTACAGGACGGTGGCTCTCCAGGAACAGGGTTGGAGTGAAAACCTACAGGATGGTAGCTCTCCATTAACAGGGTTGGAGTGAAAACCTACAGGACGGTGGCTCTCCAGGAACAGGGTTGGAGCGAAAACCTACAGGACGGTAGCTCTCCAGGAACAGGGTTGGAGCGAAAACCTACAGGACGGTGGCTCTCCAGGAACAGGGTTGGAGTGAAAACCTACAGGACGGTAGCTCTCCAGGAACAGGGTTGGAGTGAAAACCTACAGGACGTTAGCTCTCCAGGAACAGGGTTGGAGTGAAAACCTACAGGACGTTAGCTCTCCAGGAACAGGGTTGGAGTGAAAACCTACAGGACGGTGGCTCTCCAGGAACAGGGTTGGAGCGAAAACCTACAGGACGGTATCTCTCCAGGAACAGGGTTGGAGTGAAAACCTACAGGACGGTAGCTCTCCATTAACAGGGTTGGAGCGAAAACCTACAGGACGGTATCTCTCCAGGAACAGGGTTGGAGTGAAAACCTACAGGACGGTAGCTCTACGGGAACAGGGTTGGAATGAAAACCTACAGGACGGTAGCTCTCCATTAACAGGGTTGGGCAGCCCTGCCCTATATAGGACACTGGTTTTGACCAGAACACTCTGGGGTTCCATTTAGGATGCAACCATGGAGATGACATACATGCCTCAGTGCTGTAGAACCTAGAGGGTTCTTAGATTCTTTCTTAGAACCGTCTGTACTGGACTAGCTTTGGCAGAGCTTCCCCTAGCCTCCCTAGAGATGCAAAGGGAGATGGGATATGTCATGTGTGATGTACTATAGAAACACTGACTATGGCCTTACATGTTGAGGCACATTTATGAAATATGAACTCATGAGAGAAGAGAGAGAGAGAGAGAGAGAAGAGAGAGAGAGTAGAGAGATAGAGATGAGATGAGAGAGAGAGAGAGATAGAATAGCTAGAGCAGATCCGATAGCTAGCTCGCGCTCGGCATCTATTGCGCGATCCGTCGATGCTAGTCCCGACTCGACGTCGCTCTCTATCATCTCTCGCGACGACGTGCTCTCTTCGCGCTCGCTCTATCTAGCTACTCTCTAACCTACTCTCTCTTATAGAATGCCGCCGAGACTTAAGGAGAGAGATTAAGAAAGATGATGGAATCACCCCCATGCACTACTGCAGCTATTCTCTTTCAGCTGAGGTACTTAATCTAAATTGCTCCTCTTACAAAAAACGGTCTCTAGAATTGCTAATCAGCTTTGCAGCAAAATGTCAGTTAAATGTATTGAGCACTAAGGTGCACAGCGCTCAAAACACCCCAGAACACTATCATGTGTTTGCTTGTTTTCTTTGACAGTACAATTAGTATTAATGTGCATTCTGGTCTGATTTGAACATGAACAAGTGGCTCTCCTGTTCTTCAACGTCTAGGGCTTACTAAGAGAAGGAGAAGCTTACTAAGAGAAGAGGAGAAGGTTATTAAGAGAAGAGGAGAAGGTTATTAAGAGAAAAGGAGAAGGTTATTAAGAGAAGGAATGACTATGGGGAGTAGGAGGGTGAGACACAGCTTTCTAACCAGCATGAAGCACGGATAATCCAGGAGAAATGGAAAGATGGAGAGATGGGAAAACAGATAGAGGGACACAGACAGAAAGATAGAGATCAAGCAGACAGAGAGATAGAGATCAAGCAGACAGAGAGATAGATATCATGCATACAGAGAGATAGAGATCATGCAGACAGAGAGATAGAGATTTATGCAGACAGAGAGATAGAGATCATGCAGACAGAGAGATAGATATCATGCAGACAGAGAGATAGATATCATGCAGACAGATAGATAGAGATCATGCAGACAGAGAGATAGAGATCATGCAGACAGAGAGATAGAGATCATGCAGACAGAGAGATAGAGATCATGCAGACAGAGAGATAGAGATCATGCAGACAGAGAGATAGATATCATGCAGACAGAGAGATAGATATCATGCAGACAGATAGATAGAGATCATGCAGACAGAGAGATAGAGATCATGCAGACAGAGAGATAGAGATCATGTAGACAGAGAGATAGAGATCATGCAGACAGAGAGATAGAGATCATGCAGACAGAGAGATAGAGATCATGCAGACAGAGAGAGAGCAATAGAAATAGATATGGCATCATGCTGCAAAGGAAAGCATCTTGGCTGGCTTCTAGAGAAATGTAGAGAGAGAGCGATTAAGAAAGAGAGAGAAACAAAGGAACAAGAAACAGGAGAAAGAGATCACTGTGTTGATACATTATTAAAGACACTCTTACACACACACACACACACACACACACACACACACACACACTGAAATTGGTATTGGTGTGACTGGAAGATTGAAAGGAAAAAGAGAGCTATATGAATATGAGAGAGGATGAGAAGGCTACATCTGAAGGAGAGCGATACAATACGAACACACAGAGAGAGAGAGAGAGAGAGAGAGAGAGAGAGAGAGAGAGAGAGAGAGAGAGATAACAAATGGAGAAGTACAGAGGAATGAGAGAATCCATGGTCTACTTTGATAATTACTTGACATTTGTAATTCAAATATTTGCATCTAGCTAGAAGAGCATAGAGATGCAGTACAGTAGTAGAGAGGGCTGAATGAGAGAGAACAGCTCTTGTTAAAGGGTAGAAGAAAGAAAGAAGAAAGAGGTAGTTTAGCCTAGTGTGTAGTTGGCTGAATGAGAGAGAGAACAGGAAGAAAAGGGTAGTGTAGTGTGTAGTTGGCTGAGGAAAGAAAAGGGAGAGAGTAGAGATAAATGAAAGGCTCTGTTAAGGGATTGCACATTCAAAGTGGTTTATGAAACGGAGAGGGATAGAGCAGAACAACCCCTTCCCTCCCTCCCTCCCTCCCTCCCTCCCTCCCTCCCTCCCTCCCTCCAGCTTCTCTCTCTCCCCCTCCCGCTGTACTCTGTAAACCTGGCACACTATATTTCTCTCACACTCTCTCTGCTGCAGTCAACAACAAAAAAATTATGCTCGGACCTGTTTGCTTTAACATTTACCCCACTGCTGCCATGACTGTTTGTTTTGTTGTTTTAACTGCTGAAGGGTAACCGGGTTCGACTCTCGTCATCTGCTTACCGGTCGTTTAGAATCCCGTCGTTCAAATACTGCGTTGACATCACACGCCTCGTTAATAGACAGTGCGGGAGGAATAGACAACTGTGGCATGTTTGTGTATTGCGGCGGTCGATCCCACACAACATGTGCACTACCTAACGCGCGTATTTAATTACATCATAGCGCAATATCTTCGGGGAGAGCAGTGAGTATGTGGGGAATTGGATAAGGCAAGGACAGACGAGTATTTAAAAAGGAGCACTGTTGAAACAGTACAGGTTACCATCGGATGTATTGCTATTTCTCTCTAAATTATTTCAAATATTTTACTAAGGGGGAGAGAAGGAGTGTATCTTCCCTCCCCCTTGCTCTTCTCTCACCATCTCTCTTTAATTTTTTTCCAGAGACTTAACGTTATTGGAATATTTGCACTAGTGCTCAGTCACTCGTTTTATTTCAGAACCCTGGACAGCGCAATACTTAACCAAAGTATGGTCGGAGCCGAGGATAGTCTACAAATCATTCTCTACTGCAACGTTTTCTGGTTGTTATTGATATCGAGAGAGCAAGTCCAATTAAGAGACTTCTAACCTGCGTGTATTGTTAATTGACCTTATTTGTCTCTGTTCATTTCTACTTAACCGGTTAGCTATTGATTGTGCTAAACGTGTAACTGCAAGAGGATATCCGTCTACCTGCAAATTATATCCGACTGGCTTGACTTATTCATCATATTGTCCCGAGACCAACACGTGTTGAGTGTAGACAGAGGAAGAATAATTTAGAGACAGAAAAACAGCCTTTTGTGTAGATTGCTCAGACTGAACAGTTACGAAGTTACACTTCAGCAGAACTAGTGTTGCGATTCGTTGACTATTTAATGAGGAATACAAATAGTTTATTTTGTCTTGACAAAACACGCACTTTCAAGAGTTCTTGACGCAGCAACAGCAGAACAATAACAGAGGAGAATAGTCACCAAGACAATTCTCAAACATAAAGCAGCATACAACATCTTTCAAACCAAGTTTCCCGAGACTCTAAAACCTCCACCATGGCGGTGACCTGTCAAAGTCTACCCGGGGGTCGAAGCTCCATCATCGGCCAGACGTTGATTTTCGCATCGCTGACTTTACTCCTCTCTTGGTCCTGCCCGGCTCTAGGCAAGAAGAAGCTCTACATCGGTGCCCTCTTCCCGATGAGCGGAGGCTGGCCCGGGGGCCAGGCATGCCTCCCTTCCGCTCAGATGGCCCTGGACTTGGTGAACAAGAGAACGGATATACTGCCGGAGTACGAACTGGAACTGATCCACTACGATAGCATGGTGAGTAGCCTAGGCTAAGCTAAAGGCAAAGTGCACTTTAAGTTCCTATACTTGTTATAGGAACTTAATGTTGATGCACTGTCTGCATGATTTCTGCGTAAACATCAATTTATCCAAAGTGTCTGACATGTGGTTTATGGTTGTATTAATAATTCAGACTGGATCATTATTCGTAGTAGAACAGCATTGCTTCATAATGGTTTGCTTTTACTGCAACTTTGTTTAGCTTATATTTGCATAATATGAATACCAAGTATGCATGTGTGCATCTGTCATGCATGCCATAATTGGGATAATAAGTTGTCCTCTTTGAATTCTCTAATTTCCTCAGTTGTTTTTAATGAGTGCCAATAGATTGTGTTCCTTTGATTCATGTTCTCTAAGACGGGCTTAAGCCCTTAGTAGAAAATGTATCTTATGAGCAATGGTCATCATTATATAGTCTTGTGTTATTCTATTGAATAGAATCAGAATCACCTTTCTTCGCCAAGTACAACTATGTGTACCAGGAATTTGAACTGGTGAAATGGTGCTGACAACAATAAACAGAATATACAGACAGAGTGCATAATATGTAGAGGAGTGTTGGATGGGACTCTCTTTCTCCTCTCTCTCTCTCTCTCTCTCTTCTCTCTCTCTCTCTCTCGCACCTCTGTCTCCACTTTGCTCTCTTCATCTAGTCTCTTATCTCTCTCTCTATCTCTACTCTCTCTCTATCTCTCTCTATATCTATATCAGTCTATCGTCGGTATCTCGTCTAATGCTCTCCTGCTCGTTCTCTCTCTCGCTTCTCTCTTCTCGGCTCTCTCTCTCTCTTCTCTCTCTATCTCTCTCTCCCTCTCTCTGTACCATTCCTCCTCTTCTTCCCACCTGCGTCCCTCCTCCACCTCACGGGAGAGAGATGCCAACACACCACACTCACGGTCTGTAAATAGTTAAATGCACTGTGACTGGCTGGTGTTGCTAAGAGCATTGCTCTGATTGGTTGAATCTGCTCTGCATTGGAACCCTACTTCAAAAGACTGGGGGGGTGTAGAAAGGGAGGGGGTGGTTAGAGGTTGGCATGACAACAGTAACCAAGACGACTGCAGTTCATACAAACACAGAAATAAAGATTTCTCTCCAAGAAATGGGAAAGATTGTGCACTTGCTATCGTTGCTTGAACAGGGAAACAGATGGATGGCGAGATGATGTGAGCCTGCCTGTTGCGGTAAACTCCTATTGAGTGTTCAGTGTAGTTAGCCAAATGTAAGAAGTGCCTCTGGTCGGGGCAGTCATCCATCATAGGCACTTACACAGCCACAGACAGCACGTCCAAGTGTCTTCCAGGTCGGCTGCAGGATGAGGGGTAGTTGACCCCCCGCGGACCTGAGCTCTGATGGATTCAGCTCCCAGTGCCTCCCAAATGGATCCCTATTCATTATGTAGTGCCCTATATAGTGTATGGCCCATAGGACTCTGGTGAAAAGTAGTGCCCTATATAGGTACTAGGGTGCCATTTGGGACAGCCCCTGTGTCATCATCAGGAGGCAAATCAACCAGAAAATCTCCCCCCATCCCGCTAGTGAATATGGTCATTCCCCAAACCTTGACCTGGACCTTCACAAAAGCTAATTAAATGTCCATCCAGGCCCTATGTTCATTAAAGTTGAAGACACATCTCCTGATTTCCCCGGAGTGTCAGGGTTAGATCAATGAGAACATTCCCCATGAATATAGCTCTGGATTAGTGTCGCTTTTGTTTACACAGACATTTATTTGATTTGATAGTAAAGGGGGCAACATTCTCCAAAACCTATGCATGGAGAGACCGTTAGATTTAGGGGTGAGCATTAGCAATGAGGGTTACAACAAAACATGTCCAAAGGTTGCGTTTATTTCTAAGTGTAGGATGGATGGAATGTATTTGATTCAGGAGTGAAGGTTGCAACGTTCTCCATACCCCATTTATGGTCAGATTTAGGGGTGAGAATTAGGGCCTACAACACAACAAAACATTTTTGCAAATGTGTTTATTTAAGTGTAGGATGGATGGAGTTTTATTTCTAAGTGTAGGATGATGAAGTTTTATTTATGAGTGTAGGATGGATTGGGTTTAACCTCCTCACCAGGCCTCCATAATCTTCATCATAACCCATCTGTCAGCAACACTTAAGTGATGGTTTATAGGCGGTTTTGTTTTATTGACGGATTGACTTCTGTGACCCCCTGTAAAACCATCAGATATATTTAAAGGCCTCCTGCACTGTTGAGCCATTTTCAAACAGTCAACATCAGAGAATTAACTCGATTTTATATTTATAAAGTGTTCTTCTCCAACTGGAAAGTCTACGCCTCTCTCTGTGAAGGAAAATAATGGTGCTGTTCCAGTCCAGATGAGTCTTTACGATGTTGCTGATTCCTAAGGGGGAGAGTTAGGGTTAGGGTTAGGGTTAGGGTTAGTAGATCGCCATTCCTCTCGGAATCTGTAGAACTCTTAACATTCGCAGCATTCTAAAAATCCTGAAAGTCAATGATTGCATTTGGTGTGCTTCATAGTGCCCGTGTCTCTCTCTGTCTCTCTCTCTCTGCCCTTCACTCAGGCAAGCAGAGGTGCTCAATACTAAACAGTTGAAAATACAAAAATACCTACATAGTTTGTACTGCCATTTTTTTTTTCTGTAAGCAATGTGTGTGTGTGTGTTGTCGGGTTCACTCGATTTAGTGCGTTGGGCCCCAGCTGCTGTGAGAGTGTGATTTGAAGGAGTCAGGCGCAGGAGTGATAAATCAAAGAATACAGAGTTTATTCCGTAGTACACAGTTACGCTGGATAGCGTCAACAGTCCAGTGCGCAAAACAGGCTCACTGGAACAAATACAGGCACATGGGGAAAATATACCCCGGCAATACAACGTACAGGTAGCTCCACCGAGCTACACTCATCTCACATGAAACAATCACCCACAAGGACAAGGGGGGCAGAGGGAACACTTATACATGTACTAATGAGGGGAATATGAACCAGGTGTGTGTAATTGACAAGACAAGACAAATGGAATGATGAGATATGGAGCGGCAGTGGCTAGAAGGCCGGTGACGACGAACGCCGAAGCCTGCCCGAACAAGGAGAGGAGGCAGCTTCGGAGGAAGTCGTGACAGCTGCACAGTTCATGGACGGCGCCGACAGACACGGTCACCCTGTTTTTAGCTCCTAGCCAACTTTGCAGTATTTGTTGTTGTTGTGTTATTTTGTACATTATTTGCTCAGAACATTTCTTGTATTATTATTATTATTATTATTATTATTATTGTAAATAACTTTTGGACATTAGATCTAGGGTCACTCACCAGACATGTGAGCAGAAATTCGACTTCCCTGACCTGAATCCTTTGTTTGAACTTCCCGAGGCAGCTCTATTCATTCCGGGGGCTGCACCAAAACGCTGACGCCGGAGAAGAGGAAGAAGAAGTGGGGTCCTAGTCAGACTCAGGTGGCATGCATACCATCCACCGCTTCAGAGTATATTACTTGCTAAGATACAGTCCCTGGACAATAAAGTAGACGAGCTCAGGGTGAGGATCTCCTTCCAGAGAGACATCAGGGACTGAATCATGACTCTGTCCGGATATATCGTCCCCGTCCATTCAGCCAGTGGGGTTCTCCTTCCATCGCACGGACAGGAAGAAAGAACCCTCTGGGATAAAGAAAGGCGGAGGGGTTTGTTTCATGATCATCAACTCATGGTGTGATTGTGGTAAAGTACAAGAACTCAAGCCCTGTTGTTCTCCTGATCTGGAATACATCACCATCAAATGCCAACCGCATTACCTCCCGAGATAATTTTATTCGGTCATCGTCACTGCTGTGTACACTCCCCCCACCCTCCCCCAAGCTGACACCACTATGGCTCTCAAGGAATTACACTGGACTATGTGCAAACTGGAAACCGCATATCCTGAGGCCGCATTTATTGTAGATGGGAACTTCAATAAAGGAAATCTGAGAAAAACTCTACCAAAGTTCTATAAACACATTTCCTGTGCTACACGTGCATCACAAACTCTTGATCATTGCTCCTCTCCCTTCCGGGATGGCTACAAGGTCCTCCCCTGCCCTCCCTTCGGGAAATCAGATCACGCCTCCATTCTGCTCCTCTCCACCTATACGCAGAAACTTAAACAGGAAGCACCCGTGGTAAGGACTGTTCAACGTTGGTCTGACCAATAGAAATCTGTGCTTCAAGATTGTTTTGATCACGTGGACTGGGAAATGTTCCGGGTCGCCTCTGTGAATAGTATCGACGTATACACTGACTCGGTAACTGGGTTCATCAGGAAGTGCATAGAGGATGTTGTTCCCACTGTGACAATTAGAACTTATCCAAAACAAAAACCGTGAAAGAAAACCACCGCATTTAACACAATGGCAAGGTTTCTGTACCCCAGAAAGCGAAAGTAACTGAACTAAATTACTATCACCCCGTAGCACTCACTTCTAAGATGCTAGTTAAGGACCATATCACCTCCACCTTAACCGACAATCTTTACTCACTACAATTCACATACCGCCCCAACAGATCCATGGACGACGCAATCCCCATTGCACTGCACACTGCCCTATCCCACCTGGACAAGAGAAATACCTATGTCAGAATGCTGTTCATCGACTGCAGCTCAGCATTCAACACAATAGTGCCTTCCAAGTTCATCACTAAGCTCAGGACCCTGGGTCTGAACCAGGGGAGAATGATTGACGATTTCAAGTTGAAGGCTGACCGCGGTACTGGAGGCATTGTTTACAGAAAACATGAACCCCCATTTTAGTGAATGGGGAAATGGCGATCTTCGTGGTCAATATTCTTGGATATATAAAAAAAATTCAAACACAATCATGGTACCAATAAATATATTTCACCAGATGTATGTCGTTGAACCAATTACTTTAAAATCACACACAGACAAAGTTATAAGGATCATTTAGTTGCTAATGGCAGCCTGCAGTACCTCGGTCGGCCTTCAACTTGAGATACTCCATGAGAGGGGGCAGCACTGAGCTAGCCTGTAACGTCACTTCCTAGAGTAGCTCAAACTGCACATGCAATGTTTCCAAAAACTCCTCCATGTAGCAAGATGGCGACACGTTGAAATGACACTTCCTGATCATCAACTGCACCACTGAGCATTCTCATAGGTAACAATGTGGTGATGTCATCGATGGCTTTGTCCATATTTTTTTACAGTCTATGAACCCCTCCATGTGCAACTGGGTTCTGGATTTCCTGACGGGCCGACCCCAAGTGGTGAAGGTAGGGAACAACAAGGCTGATCCTCAACACAGGGGCCCCAAAAGGGCCCCACAGGGGTGCGTGCTCAGCCCCCTCCTGTACTCCCTAATCACCCATGAATGCGTGGCCACGCACGTCTCCAACTCAATCAGCAAGTTTGCTGATGACACAACAGTGGTAGGCCTGATTACCAACAATGATGAGACCGCCTACAGGGAGGTCAGGGCCCTGGCAGAATGGTGCCAGGAAAACAACCTCTCCCTCAACTTCAACAAAACAAAGGAGCTGATCGTGGACTACAGGAGACAGCAGAGAGAGCGGGGCCCCATCGACATCGACGGGGCCGTAGTGGAGAGGTTCAAAAGCTTCCAGCTCCTCAGTGTGTACATCACTAACGACCTGAAATGGGCCCTTCACGCAGACCGCGCCTCTTCAACCTCAGGAGGCTGAAGAAATTCGGCTTGGCCCCTAAGACCCTCACGAATTTCTACAGATATATGTATACAGTTCCTTTAGAAAGTATTCACACCCCTTGACTTTTTTCTACATTTTGTTGTCAAAGTGGAATGATGTTTTTTTTTTTTTTTTTTACAAATTAATTACAAATGAAAAGCTGAAATGTCTTGAGTCAATAAGTATTCAACCCCTTTGTTATGACAAGCCTAAATAAGTTCAGGAGTAAACATTTGCTTAACAAGTCACATAATAAGTTGCATGGACTCACTCTGTGTGCAATAATTGTGTTTAACATGATTTGTGAATGATTACCTCACACATACAATTATCTGTAAGTGTAGTTGTGGACTTGGTGGACTGTATATTCAGTAGGGTTTTCCTTAGCGCTATGTGTTCTCTCCCAGGTGCTTGTAAAGGCACAGATGACAGACCGGTAGGATTCCAGTTGAGGTAGTTTTACGACACTGATTCACAGGGCAGTACTGGCACAGCACAGCACAGTGTATGGGCTTGACGGTTGTGTTAACCAAGAGTTTGTGTGGTTCTGAAAAGGGGGAAATTAAATACAATAGTAAATGGCAGGTATAGGCTTAATACAACCTCAAATTACATAAGCTATAAATAATATGGCTACAATAGGTCATCTGCTGCACAGGGCAATACAACCTAACAACATGGATGTGCCTTCACTAATGAATGATCAGAGGAGTGCAACTACCGAGCACTACCGAGCAGCACCATCATCCTCACACAACTGCATGAACTCGAATGTATATACAGTGGGGAAAAAAAGTATTTAGTCAGCCACCAATTGTGCAAGTTCTCCCACTTAAAAAGATGAGAGAGGCCTGTAATTTTCATCATAGGTACACGTCAACTATGACAGAAAATCACATTGTAGGATTTTTTATGCATGTATTTGCAAATTGTGGTGGAAAATATGTATTTGGTCACCTACAAACAAGCAAGATTTCTGGCTCTCACAGACCTGTAACTTCTTCTTTAAGAGGCTCCTCTGTCCTCCACTCGTTACCTGTATTAATGGCACCTGTTTGAACTTGTTATCAGTATAAAATACACCTGTCCACAACCTCAAACAGTCACACTCCAAACTCCACTATGGCCAAGACCAAAGAGCTGTCAAAGGACACCAGAAACGAAATTGTAGACCTGCACCAGGCTGGGAAGACTGAATCTGCAATAGGTAAGCAGCTTGGTTTGAAGAAATCAACTGTGGGAGCAATTATTAGGAAATGGAAGACATACAAGACCACTGATAATCTCCCTCGATCTGGGGCTCCACGCAAGATCTCACCCCGTGGGGTCAAAATGATCACAAGAACGGTGAGCAAAAATCCCAGAACCACACGGGGGGACCTAGTGAATGACCTGCAGAGAGCTGGGACCAAAGTAACAAAGCCTACCATCAGTAACACACTACGCCGCCAGGGACTCAAATCCTGCAGTGCCAGACGTGTCCCCCTGCTTAAGCCAGTACATGTCCAGGCCCGTCTGAAGTTTGCTAGAGTGCATTTGGATGATCCAGAAGAGGATTGGGAGAATGTCATATGGTCAGATGAAACCAAAATATAACTTTTTGGTAAAAACTCAACTCGTCGTGTTTGGAGGACAAAGAATGCTTAGTTGTATCCAAAGAACACCATACCTACTGTGAAGCCTGGGGGTGGAAACATCATGCTTTGGGGCTGTTTTTCTGCAAAGGGAACAGGACGACTGACCCGTGTAAAGGAAAGAATGAATGGGGCCATGTATCGTGAGATTTTGAGTGAAAACCTCCTTCCATCAGCAAGGGCATTGAAGATGAAACGTGGCTGGGTCTTTCAGCATGACAATGATCCCAAACACACCACCCGGGCAATGAAGGAGTGGCTTCGTAAGAAGCATTTCAAGGTCCTGGAGTGGCCTAGCCAGTCTCCAGATCTCAACCCCATAGAAAATCTTTGGAGGGAGTTGAAAGTCCGTGTTGCCCAGCGACAGCCCCAAAACATCACTGCTCTAGAGGAGATCTGCATGGAGGAATGGGCCAAAATACCAGCAACAGTGTGTGAAAACCTTGTGAAGACTTACAGAAAACGTTTGACATGTGTCATTGCCAACAAAGGGTATATAACAAAGTATTGAGAAACTTTTGTTATTGACCAAATACTTTGGTCAATTCTCAATTTGTCTGTCATAGTTGACATGTACCTATGATGACAATTACAGGCCTCTCTCATCTTTTTAAGTGGGAGAACTTGCACAATTGGTGGCTGACTAAATACTTTTTTCCCCCACTGTAGCTACATCCACAAGGCACATTGCTAACAAAATACCCACCTAATCTATACAGTATACATCCATAAAACCACAGGGCATATAAGACTAGACACTGAAATGCTAAATGTCTGAAATGAGATGACAGAAACAACAGGGTTAGTAATATAGCAATAGGCTTACAGTAAAAACACGAATGAGCATAACAAAGGAGTGCGTCCACAACACATGAATTGTAAGAGATATGAACTCGCATTTCTGAAGGCCGCACACTGGCCTTGACTAAGACAAGGAATGCTAACTGAAGGTAATCACAGGAGATGGCTGGAACTTATCACGGCTTGTGTACTTTCTCTAGTTACTTCCTTCTCCTCAGTTAGAGATCGCCCAGCATGCTCTGCTCCACATCACCGGTCCCTCAGTCGAGTACTGAATTTCAAACACAGATTCAACCACATAGACCAGGGAAGTTGTCTCGCAAAGAAGGGCACCTATTGGTAGATGGGTAAAAATAAAAAAGCAGATATTGAATATCCCTTTGAGCATGGTGAAGTTATTAATTACACTTGGATGGTGTATCAATACACCCAGTCACTACAAAGATACAGGCGTCCTTCCTAACTCAGTTCCCGGAGAGGAAGGAAACCGCTCAGGGATTTCATAATGAAGCCAATGGTGACTTTAAAACAGTTACAGTTTAATGGCTGTGATAGGAAAAAACTGAGCATGGATCAACAACATTGTAGTTACTCCACAATACTAACCTAAATGACAGAGTGAAAAGAAGGAAAGAAGAAATTAACTTTATGTCCTGAATACAAAGCCTGATTAATGAAGCAAATCCAATACAACACATCACTGAGTACCACTCCTCACATATTCAACCATGGTGGTGTCTGCATCATGTTATGGGCATGCTTGTCATCAGCAAGGACTAGGGAGTTTTCTTTAGGATACAAATAAACGGAATAAGCACAGGCAAAATCTTAGAGGAAAACCTGGTTCATTCTGCTTTCCAACAGACACTGGGAGACATAATCACCTCTCAGCAGGACAGTTAGCTAAAACACAAGGCCAAATATACACTGGAGTTGCTTACCAAGACGACATTGAATGTTCCTGAGTGGCCCAGTTACAGTTTTGACATAAATCAGCTTGACAATCTATGGCAAGACTTGAAAATGGTTGTCTAGCAATGATCAACAACCAACTTGACAGAGAATGAAGAATTTTTAAAACAATAATGTGCAAATATTGTACAATCCAGGTGTGCAAAGCTCTTAGAGACTTACCCAGAAAGACTCACAGCTGTAATCGCTGGCAAAGGTAATTCTAACATGTATTGACTCAGGGGTGTGAATACTTATGTAAATAAGATATTTCTATATTTCATTTTCAATAAATCTAAAAACATGTTTTCTCCTTGTAATTATGGGGTAGTGTGTGTGGATGGGCGAGAAAAAACCCAGATTTAATTCATTTTCAGGCTGTAACACAACACAATGTGAAATAGGTATGAATACTTTCTGAAGGCATATAGTCATTGATCACTTTAATAATGTTTACATAATGTTTTACCCACTTCATATGTATACACTGTATTCTAGTCAAGGCTCAGACCCCTTCCCTTTTTCCACATTTTGTTACGTTACAGCCTTATTCTAAAATTGATTAAATACATTTTTTTCCTCATCAATCTACACACATTACCCCATAATGACAATGCGAAAACAGGTTTTTAGAAATGTTTGCAAATTTATTAAAAATAAAAAGGTATTCAGACCCTTTGCTATGAGACTCGAAATTGAGCTCAGGTGCATCCTGTTTCCATTGATCATCATTGAGATGTTTCTACAACTTGATTGGAGTCCACCTGTGGTAAATTCATTTGATTGGACATGATTTGGAAAGGCACACACCTGTCTATATAAGTTCCCACAGTTGACAGTGCATGTCAGAGCAAAAACCAAACCATGAGGTAAAATAAATTGTCTGTAGAGCTCCGAGACAGGATTGTGTCGAGGCACAGATCTGGGGCAGGGTACCAAACAATTTCTGCAGCATTGAAGGTCCCCAAGAACACAGAGGCCTCCATCATTCTTAAATGGAACAAGTTAGGAACCACTAAGACTCTTCCTTCGAGCTGGCTGCCCGGCCAAACTGAGCAATCGGGGGAGAAGGGCCTGGGTCAGGGAGGTGACCAAGAACCCGATGGTCACTCTGACAGAGCTCTAGAGTTCCTCTGTGGAGATGGGAGAACCTTCCAGAAGGACAACCATCTCTGCAGCACTCCACCAATCAGTCTTTATGGTAGAGTGGCCAGACGGAACCACTCCTCAGTAAAAGGCACATGACAGCCCGCTTGGAGTTTGCCAAAGGCGCCTAAAGGACTCTCAGACCATGAGAAACAAGATTCTCTGGTGTGATGAAACCAAGATTGAACTCTTTGGCCTGAATGCCAAGCGTCACATCTGGAGGAAACCTGGCACCATCCCTACGGTGAAGCATGGTGGGGGCGGCATTATGCTGTGGGGATGTTTTTCAGCGGAAGGGACTGGGAGACTAGTCAGGATCGAGGGAAAGATTAATGGAGCAAAGTTCAGAGAGACCCGGCTCCAGAGCACTCAGGACCTCCGACTGGGACGAAGGTTCACCTTCCAACAGGACAACGACCCTAACAACACAGCCAAGACAACGCAGGAGTGGCTTTGGGACAAGTCTCTGAATGTCCTTAAGTGGCCCAGCCAGAGCCCGGACTTGAACCATATTGAATGTCTCTGGAGAGACCTGAAAATAGCTGTGCAGCAACGCTCCCCATCCAACCTGACAGAGCATGAGAGGATCTGCAGAGAAGAATGGGAGAAACTCCCCAAATACAGGTGAGCCAAGCTTGTAGCGTCATACCCAAGAAGACTCGAGGCTGTAATCGCTGCCAAAGTAGCATCAACAAATTACTGAGGAAAGGGTCTGAATACTTATGTAAATGTGATCTTTTAATACATTTGCAAAGATTTCTAAAAATCTGTTTTTGCTTTGTCATTATGGGGTATTGTGTGTAGATTGATGAGGAAAAAAAACGATTTAATCAATTTTAGGATAAGGCTGTAATGTAACAAATTGTGGAAAAAGTCAAGGGGTCTGAATACTTTCCGAAGGCACAGTAACTACTGCTGTACACACCTTTTCTATTCATATACTGTCCATACTGTCTATACACACCATTAAACACTGTATATATGTATATTCCACACTCTGACATTGCTCATGCTGATATTTCTTAATGTATTTATTTTAACTTTTAGGATTATGTGCGTATTATTTTGTATTGCTAGGTATTATTACTGTTCTATTGGAGCTAGAAACACAAGTATTTCGCTGTACCTGCGATAGCATCTGCAAATCTGTGTACCAATAAACTTTGATTTGATTTGAAGCCTCCCGCATGGCCTCCCCTGGTCTGTAGGAGCGCTCACGAGCAGGAACAGCACTGACTCAACGAGCCCCAAACACGTCCCTGACTCAACGGGCCCCAAACACGTCACTGACTCAACGGGCCCTAAACACGTCCCTGACTCAACGGACCCCAAACATGTCACTGACTCAACGAGCCCCAAACACGTCACTGACTCAACGAGCCCCAAACACGTCACTGACTCAACGAGCCCCAAACACGTCACTGACTCAACGGGCGCCGAAAAACACGTCCCTGACTCAACGAGCCCCAAACACGTCACTGACTCAACGAGCCCCAAACACGTCACTGACTCAACGGGCCCCAAACACGTCACTGACTCAACGGGCCCCAAACACGTCACTGACTCAACGGGCCCCAAACACGTCACTGACTCAACGGGCCCCAAACACGTCACTGACTCAACGGGCCCCAAACACGTCACTGACTCAACGAGCCCCAAACACGTCACTGACTCAACGAGCCCCAAACACGTCACTGACTCAACGAGCCCCAAACACGTCACTGATTCAACGAGCCCCAAACACGTCAGTGACTCAACGAGCCCCAAACACGTCGCTGACTCAACGAGCCCCAAACACGTCGCTGACTCAACGAGCCCCAAACACGTCACTGACTCAACGAGCCCCAAACACGTCACTGACTCAACGAGCCCCAAACACGTCAGTGACTCAACGAGCCCCAAACACGTCGCTGACTCAACGAGCCCCAAACACGTCGCTGACTCAACGAGCCCCAAACACGTCACTGACTCAACGAGCCCCAAACACGTCACTGACTCTCAGAAGTAATAGGCCCGTGTGCCTGAGCTGATTGCGATTGCGACTGGCTGTTCTTTAGCTCTTCCATTTGGTATTTGGAGTTCTTATTAATGATGAGCGTGCCAAACGAAACCCGTCGCAATCACGAGTAGGTTAGCCTTGATCTGTATCCCAAATACCACCCTATTCCTTATATATTGCACTACTTTTGACACTATGTAGGTGTAGGGAATAGGGTGTCATTTGGGACAAAGCCTAGCAGTCAATGAACTCTTCCCTTTGCTCATAATTGTGCCCAACGATGCCACATTACCGTTGTGTCTCTCACATGGAATGGGTTTAATGTGGACATGACGAGGGGTTTTACGGTGGAAAGCATGTCTTTCACATGGAATGGGTTTAATGTGGACATGATGAGGGGCTTTATGGTGGAAAGCAATCATTTAATATACTAGATAGAGGATTTGGCCATTGACTTCTCTCACTTCATTAAAATGAACTGTTGGTCTGCGTCCTAAATGCAACCATATTCCCTATGTAGTGCACTACTTTTGACCAGGGTGCGTAGGGCTCTGGTCAAAAGTAGTGCACTATATAGAGAATAGTACAGTATGCCATTTGGCGCTCTGTGATTATAGGCAACACTGACTGTGGTTAAGTGAGAGGGAAATCTCTTGCCTTGGGCCACTGCTAACTCAATTTGTATGATTGGGCACAAATCAAACAAAATCAGGTTCCACCGTGTAATCAGTTTGAAGTAATATTCTCTCTATGTTCTGTCGCCAGAATAGAATCCCAGTGAGCCTTCTATTTGGAATGTTAGGTGAAATATCAGTGATTTCATCCAGTGCCCTATCCAACGCTGCAGTCACAGTCTGCATCCCAAATGCACCCCTATTCCCTATATAGTGCGCTACTTTTGACCAGAGCCCTATGAGCACTGGTCAAACGTAGTGCACTATAAACTAAAGGAAATAGGGTGCCATTTGGGACACACACACTGTCATCCCACTATCAGCGCCGGAGAAGATGGCTGCCGTTTTACAGCCCTCTAACCAATTGTACTATTATGTGTGTTTTTCCGCGTTATTTGTAATTTATTTTGTACATAATGTTTCTGCCATCGTCTCTTATAACCAAAGAGAGCTTCTGGATATCAGGACAGCGATTACTCACCTCGCATTGGACGAAGATTTTTTCTTCAACGAGGCGTTCGCGAAGGATATCCTACAGACACCCGACAAGGCCCAGATCCCCGTCATTCGCGTGAGGAAGAGACGGAGATATCGCGGACGCAGATCCGGGTGCCTTGTAAGGATCCGACGGCGAGCGAGTAAACTGCCTCTTCCATCAATCCTATTAGCCAACGTTCAATCTTTTGAGAATAAAATTGACGATTTAAGATTACGGTTATCCTACCAACGGGACATTAAAAACTGTAATATCTTATGTTTCACGGAGTCGTGGCTGAACGACAACAATGATAACATTCAGCTAGCAGGCTATACGCTACATCGGCAGGACAGAACGTCTGACTCTGGTAAGACAAGGGGTGGCGGTCTCTGTATATTTGTAAACAACAGCTGGTGCACAAAATCAAATACTAAGGAAGTCTCAAGGTTTTGCTCGCCTGAGGTAGAGTATCTTATGATAAGCTGTAGACCACACTATTTACCAAGAGAGTTTTCATCTATATTTTTCATAGCTGTCTATTTACCACCACAAACCAATGCTGGCATTAAGATTGCACTGAATGAGTTGTACAAGGCCATTAATCAACAGGAAAACGCTCATCCAGATGCAGCGCTCCTAGTAGCCGGGGACTTTAATGCAGGGAAACTTAAATCCGTTCTACCTAATTTCTACCAGCATGTTAAATGTGCAACCAGAGGGAAAAAAACTCTAGACCACCTTTACTCCACACACAGAGACGCATACAAAGCTCTCCCTCGCCCTCCATTTGGCAAATCTGACCATAACTCTATCCTCCTGATTCCTGCTTATAAGCAAAAACTGAAGCAGGAAGCACCAGTGATTCGGTTAATAAAAAAGTGGTCAGATGACGCAGATGCTAAGCTACAGGACTGTTTTGCTAGCACAGACTGGAACATGTTCCGGGATTCTTCAGACAGCATTGAGGAGTACACCACATCAGTCACTGGCTTCATCAATAAGTGCATCGATGATGTCGTCCCCACAGTGACCGTACGTACCCCAACCAGAAGCCATGGATTACAGGAAACATCCGCACTGAGCTAAAGGGTAGAGCTGCCGCTTTCAAGGAACGGGACTCTAACCCGGACGCTTATAAGAAATCCCCGCTATGACCTCCGACGAACCATCAAACAGGCAAAGAGTCAATACAGGTCTAAGATTGAATCATACTACACTGGCTCTGACGCTCGTCGGATGTGGCAGGGCTTGAAAACTATTACAGACTACAAAGGGAAGCACATCCGCGAGCTGCCCAGTGACACAAGCCTACCAGACGAGCTAAACCACTTCTATGCTCGCTTCGAGGCAAGCAACACTGAAGCATGCATGAGAGCACCAGCTGTTCCGGACGACTATGTGATCACGCTCTCCGTAGCCGATGTGAGTAAGACTTTTAAGCAGGTCAACATTCACAAGGCCGCAGGGCCAGACGGATTACCAGGACGTGTACTCCGAGCATGTGCTGACCAACTGGCAAGTGTCTTCACTGACATTTTCAACATGTCCCTGACTGAGTCTGTAATACCAACATGTTTCAAGCAGACCACCATAGTCCCCCGTGCCCAAGAACTCTAAGATAACCTGCCTAAATGACTACCGACCCGTGGCACTGACGTCTGTAGCCATGAAGTGCTTTGAAAGACTGGTCATGGCTCACATCAACAGCATAATCCCAGAAACCCTAGACCCACTCCAATTTGCATACCGCCCCCAACAGATCCACAGATGATGCAATCTCTATCGCACTCCACACTGCCCTTTCCCACCTGGACAAGAGGAACACCTACGTGAGAATGCTATTCATTGACTACAGCTCAGCATTCAACACCATAGTGCCCTCAAAGCTCATCACTAAGCTAAGGATCCTGGGACTAAACACCTCCCTCTGCAACTGGATCCTGGACTTCCTGACGGGCCGCCCCCAGGTGGTAAGGGTAGGTAACAACACATCTGCCACACTGATCCTCAACACGGGGGCCCCTCAGGGGTGCGTGCTCAGTCCCCTCCTGTACTCTCTGTTCACCCATGACTGCATGGCCAGGCACGACTCCAACACCATCATTAAGTTTGCCGACGACACAACAGTGGTAGGCCTGATCACCGACAACGATGAGACAGCCTATAGGGAGGAGGTCAGAGATCTGGCCGTGTGGTGCCAGGACAACAACCTCTCCCTCAACGTGACCAAGACAAAGGAGATGATTGTGGACTACAGGAAAAAAAAGAGGACTGAGCACGCCCCCATTCTCATCGACGGGGCTGTAGTGGAACAGGTTGAGAGCTTCAAGTTCCTTGGTGTCCACATCACCAACGAACTATCATGGTCCAAACACACCAAGACAGTCGTGAAGAGGGCACGACAAAGCCTATTCCCCCTCAGGAGGGTCCTCAGATCCTCAAAAAATTCTACAGCTGCACCATCGAGAGCATCCTGACTGGTTGCATCACCGCCTGGTATGGCAACTGCTTGGCCTCTGCCGCAAGGCACTACAGAGGGTAGTGCGTACGGCCCAGTACATCACTGGGGCAAAGCTCCCTGCCATCCAGGACCTCTATACCAGGCGGTGTCAGAGGAAGGCCCTCAAAATTGTCAAAGACTCCAGCCACCCTAGTCATAGACTGTTCTCTCTGCTACCGCACGGCAAGCGGTACCGGAGTGCCAAGTCTAGGTCCAAAAGACTTCTCAACAGCTTCTACCCCCAAGCCATAAGACTCCTGAACAGCTAATCATGGCTACCCGGACTATTTGCACTGCCCCCCCACCCCATCCTTTTTACGCTGCTGCTACTCTGTTAAGTATTTATGCATAGTCACTTTAACTCTACCCACATGTACATATTACCTCAACTACCTCAACTAGCCGGTGCCCCCGCACATTGACTCTGCAACGGTACCCCCCTGTATATATAGCCTCCCTACTGTCACTTTATTTTACTGTATATATAGCCTCCCTACTGTCACTTTATTTTACTTCTGCTCTTTTTTTCTCAACACTTTTTTTGTTGTTGTTTTATTCTTACTTTTTTTGTTTAAAATAAATGCACTGTTGGTTAAGGGCTGTAAGTAAGCATTTCACTGTAATGTCTGCACCTGTTGTATTCGGCGCATGTGACCAATAAAATTTGATTTGATTTGATTTGATCAATTAACTGTCATCCCACTGTCAGCTACTGTCATCCAACTGTCATCCCACTGTCAATCCACTGTCATCCCACTTTAATCCTACTGTCATCACACTGTCATCCCACTGTCATCATACTGTCATCCACCGTCATCCACTGTCATCATACTGTCATCCCACTGTCATCATACTGTCATCCACTGACATACAACTGTCATCCCACTGTAATCCCACTGTCATCATACTATCATTCCACTGTCATCCACTGTCATCATACTGTCATCCCACTGTCATCATACTGTCATCCACTGACATACCACTGTCATCCCACTGTAATCCCACTGTCATAATGCTGTCATCATACTATCATCCCACTGTCATCCCATCTCCCCAGTGTCTCCTGCAGTTTACATGCTGTTGGTTTCCCTCTCCCAAACAACCAAATGATCAATGATCACTTTAACCCACAACGTTATCATTTAAATTGAATATAGGTTGTTGAGAATGAAAATTACAAAAAACCTTAAAAAACCTTAAGCTTGGATCAAAGACAAGAGACTGACTGCTTGGTGGGTAAATGTTCTCCCTCCATTCGGATAGAAAAATGCTTCAATCCCAAATTTCATCCTATTCCTTATATAGTGCAGTACTTTTAGCCAGGACCCATAGATAGTGTATTGCTTTTAGCCAGGACCCATAGATAGTGTATTGCTTTTAGCCAGGACCCATAGATAGTGTATTGCTTTTAGCCAGGACCCATAGATAGTGTATTGCTTTTAGCCAGGACCCATAGATAGTGTATTGCTTTTAGCCAGGACCCATAGATAGTGTATTGCTTTTAGCAAGGACCCATAGATAGTGTATTGCTTTTGACCAGAGCCCTATGGGGCCCTATGTAGGAAATAGGGTGCACGCCGAATAGGTGTAGACCTTACAGTGAAATGCTTACTCACAAGCCCTTAACCAACAATGCAGTTTTTAAGAAAAATAAGTGTTAAGAAAGTATTTACTAAATAAACTAAAGTAAAAAAGAAAAATATATCTAAAAAAATTAAATTAAAAAAATAACTGTCCCTCTCCCCCTCTTTCTCCGTCTTTTGGGACGATGTTGTTTCCCTTCCGGAAAAATCCAGGTGTCCTTGGGATGTCCCTCTGTCTCGTCTCTCTGTCTCTGGGCTCTCCTGTTTATTGGTATTGTCTTGGGATGTCCCTCTGTCTCTCTGTCTCTGGGCACTCCTGTTTTTGGTATTGTCTTGGGATGTCCCTCTGTCTCGTCTCTCTGTCTCTGGGCTCTCCTGTTTATTGGTATTGTCTTGGGATGTCCCTCTGTCTCGTCCTCTCTGTCTCTGGGCTCTCCTGTTGTATTGGTATTGTCTTGGGATGTCCCTCTGTCTCGTCTCTCTGTCTCTGGGCTCTCCTGTTTATTGGTATTGTCTTGGGATGTCCCTCTGTCTCGTCTCTCCTCTGTCTCTGGGCTCTCCTGTTTATTGGTATTGTCTTGGGATGTCCCTCTGTCTCGTCTCTCTGTCTCTGGGCTCTCCTGTTTATTGGTATTGTCTTGGGATGTCCCTCTGTCTCGTCTCTCTGTCTCTGGGCTCTCCTGTTTATTGGTATTGTCTTGGGATGTCCCTCTGTCTCGTCTCTCTGTCTCTGGGCTCTCCTGTTTATTGGTATTGTCTTGGGATGTCCCTCTGTCCGTCTCTCTGTCCTCGGTGCTCTCCTGTTTATTTGGTAGTGTCTTGGGATGTCCCTCTGTCTCGTCCTCTCTGTCTCTGGGCTCCCTGTTTATTGGTATTGTCTTGGGATGTCCCTCTGTCTCGTCTCTCTGTCTCTGGGCTCTCCGTTTTTATTGGTATTGTCTTGGGATTTCCTCTGTCTCGTCTCTCTGTCTCTGGGCTCTCCTTTTATTGGTATTGTCTTGGGATGTCCCTCTGTCTCGTCTCTCTGTCTCTGGGCTCTCCTGTTTATTGGTATTGTTGTGTGTAAACTAGTGTGAAATGAATCACTGACCCCCTCAATCTCGCCCATTGCACTTTAACATACAAATAGCACTTGCTTGTTTAAAAAAAAAAAAAAATGCGGGGGGCAGTATGTTATGAGTCTTATTCCCCTCCTCTATCTCTCTCCCTTATTCCCCCTCCTCTATCTCTCTCCCTTATTCCCCCTCCTCTATCTCTCTCCCTTATTCCCCTCCTCTATCTCTCTCCCTTATTCCCCCTCCTCTATCTCTCTCCCTTATTCCCCCTCCTCTATCTCTCTCCCTTATTCCCCCTTCCTCTATGCTCTCCTTTCCCCCCCTATTCCCCCTCCTCTATCCCTCTCCCTTATTCCCCTTCTCTATCCCTCTCCCTTATTCCCCCTCCTCTATCTCGCTCCCTTATTCCCCTTCTCTATCCCTCTCCCTTATTCCCCTTCTCTATCTCTCCTCCCTTATTCCCCCTTCTCTATCCCTCTCCCTTATTCCCCCTCCTCTATCCCTCTCCCTTATTCCCCCTCCTCTATCCCTCTCCCTTATTCCCCCTTCTCTATCCCTCTCCCTTATTCCCCCTCCTCTATCCCTCCCCTTATTCCCCCTCCTCTATCCCTCTCCCTATTCCCCTCCTCTATCTCCTCTCCCGTATTCCCCCTTCTCTATCCCTCCCTTATTCCCCCTCCTCTATCCCTCTCCCTTATTCCCCCTCCTCTCTATCCCTCTCCCTTATTCCCCTCCTCTATTCCCTCTCCCTTATTCCCCTTCTCTATCTCTCTCCCTTATCCCTCCCCTTCTCTATCCTCCTTATCCCTCCCTTATTCCCTCTCCCCTCTCTATCCCTCTCCCTTATTCCCCCTCCTCTATCCCTCTCCCTTATCCCTTCTCCCTCCTCTCTCTATCCCTCTCTACCCCTTATTCCCCCTCCTCTATCCTCTCCCTTATTCCCCTTCTCTCTCTCTCCTCCCTTATTCCCCTCTATATCCCTCTCCCTTATCCCCCCTCCTCTATCCCTCTCCCTTATTCCCCCTCCTCTATCCCTCTCCCTTATTCCCCCTTCTCTATCCCTCTCCCTTATTCCCCTCCTCTATCTCCCTCCCTTATTCCCCTTCTCTATCTCTCTCCCTTATTCCCCCTTCTCTATCCCTCTCCCTTATTCCCCTCCTCTATCCCTCTCCCTTATTCCCCCTTCTCTATCCCGCTCCCTTATTCCCCCTTCTCTCTCCCTTATTCCCCCTTCTCTATCCCTCTCCCCTATTCCCCCTTCTCTATCCCTCTCCCTTATTCCCCCTTCTCTATCCCTCTCCCTTATTCCCCCTCTGTCTCTCTCCCCTTATTCCCCCTCTTCTATCCCTCTCCCTCATTCCCCCCTCCTCTATCCCTCTCCCTTATTCCATCTCCCTCTCTCTCTCCCTTATTCCCCTCTTCTATCTCTCTGCCTTATTCCCCTTCTCTATCCCTCTCCCTTATTCCCCTCCTCTATCCCTCTCCATTATTCCCCTTCTCTATCCCTCTCCCTTATTCCCCTCTATCTCTCTCCCCTTATTCCCCTTCTCTATCCCTCTCCCTTATTCCCCCTTCTCTATCCCTCTCCCTTATTCCCCCTCCTCTATCTCTCTCCCTTATTCCCCATCCTCTATCCCTCTCCCGTATTCCCCCTTCTCTATCCCTCTCCCTTATTCCCCTTCTCTATCCCTCTCCCTTATTCTCCTCCTCTATCTCTCTCCCTTATTCCCCATCCTCTATCCCTCTCCTTAGTCCCCCTCCTCTATCCCTCTCCTTATTCCCCCCTCCTCCTTCTCTCTCCCTTATTCCCCCTCCTCTATCCCTCTCCCTTATTTCCCCTCTATCGCTCTCCCTTATTCCCCCCCTCCTCTCATCTCTCTCCCTATTCCCATCCTCTATCCCTCTCCCTTATTCCCCCTCCTCTATCCCTCTCCCTTATTCCCCCTCCTCTATCTCTCACCCTTATTCCCCCTTCTCTATCCCTCTCCCTTATTCCCCCTCCTCTATCCCTCTCCCTTATTCCCCTCCTCTATCCCTCTCCCTTATTCCCCCTTCTCTATCCCTCTCCCTTATTCCCCCTTCTCTATCCCTCTCCCTTATTCCCCCTCTCTTCTCTCCCGTATTCCCCCTTCTCTCTCCCTCTCCCCTTATTTCCCCCTTCCTCTATCCCTCTCCCTTATTCCCCCTCTCTATCCCTCTCCCTTATTCCCTCTTTCCCTCTCCCCTTATTCCCCCTCTTCTATCCCTCTCCCTCTATTCCCCTCCTCTATCCCTCTCCCTTATTCCCCTTCCTCTACCTCTCTCCCTTATTCCCCCTTATCCTCCTTATCCCTCTCCCTTCTATTCCCCCTCCTCTATCCCTCTCCCTTATTCCCCCTCCTCTATCCCTCTCCCTTATTCCCCTTCTCTCCTACTCCTCCCTCTCCCTTATTCCCCCTTCCTCTATCCCTCTCCCTTATTCCCCCTCCTCTATCCCTCTCCCTTATTCCTCCCCCTCCTCCTATCCCCTCCATCCCTTATTCCCCCCTCCTCTATCCCTCTCCCTTATTCCCCTCCTCTATCCCTCTCCCTTATTCCCCCTCCTCTATCCCTCTCCCTTATTCCCCCTTCTCTATCCCTCTCCCTTATTCCCTCTGTGTCTCTCTCCCTTATTCCCCCTCTTCTATCCCTCTCCCTCATTCCCCCTCCTCTATCCCTCTCCCTTATTCCCTATCCTCTCTCTCTCCCTTATTCCCTTCCTCTATCCCTCTCCCTTATTCCCCTCCTCTATCCCTCTCCCTTATTCCCCTCCTCTATCCCTCTCCCTCTATTCCCCTTCTCTATCCTCTCCCTTATTCCCTTCTCTTCCCTATCCTCTTACCTCTCCCTTATTCCCCCTCCTCTATCCCTCTCCCTTATTCCTTCCCCCTCACCTCTATCCCTCTCCCTTATTCCCCCTCCTCTATCCCTCTCCCTTATTCCCCCTCCTCTATCCCTCTCCCTTATTCCCCCTCCTCTATCCCTCTCCCTTATTCCCCTCCTCTATCCCTCTCCCTTATTCCCCTCCTCTATCCCTCTCCCTTATTCCCCCTCCTCTATCCTCTCCTATTCCTCCTTATTCCTCCCTTTCTCTATCCCTCTCTCCCTTATTCCCCCTCCTCTATCCCTCTCCCTTATTTCCCCCTCCTCTATCCCTCTCCCTTATTTCCTCCCTCCTCTATTCCCTCTCCCTTATTCCCCCCTCTATCCCTCTCCCTTATTCCCCTCCCATCCTATCCTTTCCTCTTCCCTATCCCCCCCTCCTCTATCCCTCTTCCCTTCTTCCTTCCCTCTCTCTCTTATCCCTCTTCCCTTTCCATTCCCCCTCCTCTATCCCTCTCCTTATGCCTCCTCTATTTAATATTCCTCTGTTCCCTATACGGTGTGATTAGATGGTTTACTCTGTTCCCTATACGGTGTGATTAGATGGTTTCCTCTGTTCCCTATACGGTGTGATTAGATGGTTTACTCTGTTCCCTATACAGTGTGATTAGATGGTTTACTCTGTTCCCTATACGGTGTGATTAGATGGTTTACTCTGTTCCCTATACGGTGTGATTAGATGGTTTCCTCTGTTCCCTATACAGTGTGATTAGATGGTTTCCTCTGTTCCCTATACAGTGTGATTAGATGGTTTACTCTGTTCCCTATACGGTGTGATTAGATGGTTTCCTCATATGTAGTGTGTGACTTTCTTTCTTCCTCTGTTCCCTATACGGTGTGATTAGATGGTTTCCTCTGTTCCCTATACAGTGTGATTAGATGGTTTACTCTGTTCCCTATACAGTGTGATTAGATGGTTTACTCTGTTCCCTATACAGTGTGATTAGATGGTTTACTCTGGTCCCTATACAGTGTGATTAGATGGTTTACTCTGTTCCCTATACGGTGTGATTAGATGGTTTACTCTGTTCCCTATACAGTGTGATTAGATGGTTTACTCTGTTCCCTATACAGTGTGATTAGATGGTTTCCTCTGTTCCCTATACAGTGTGATTAGATGGTTTACTCTGTTCCCTATACGGTGTGATTAGATGGTTTACTCTGTTCCCTATACGGTGTGATTAGATGGTTTCCTCATATGTAGTGTGTGACTTTCTTTCTTCCTCTGTTCCCTATACGGTGTGATTAGATGGTTTCCTCTGTTCCCTATACAGTGTGATTAGATGGTTTACTCTGTTCCCTATACAGTGTGATTAGATGGTTTACTCTGGTCCCTATACAGTGTGATTAGATGGTTTACTCTGTTCCCTATACAGTGTGATTAGATGGTTTACTCTGGTCCCTATACAGTGTGATTAGATGGTTTACTCTGTTCCCTATACAGTGTGATTAGATGGTTTACTCTGTTCCCTATACGGTGTGATTAGATGGTTTACTCTGTTCCCTATACGGTGTGATTAGATGGTTTACTCTGTTCCCTATACAGTGTGATTAGATGGTTTACTCTGGTCCCTATACAGTGTGATTAGATGGTTTACTCTGTTCCCTATACGGTGGTGATTAGATGGTTTAACTCTGTTCCCTATACAGTGTGATTAGATGGTTTCCTCTGTTCCCTATACGGTGTGATTAGATGGTTTACCTCTGTTCCCTATACAGTGTGATTAGATGGTTTACTCTGTTCCCTATACAGTGTGATTAGATGGTTTACTCTGTTCCCTATACGGTGTGATTAGATGGTTTACTCTGTTCCCTATACAGTGTGATTAGATGGTTTCCTCTGTTCCCTATACAGTGTGATCCAGGTGAAGCCACCAAGCTCCTGTATGACCTGCTCTACACTGAGCCCATCAAGATGGTCCTGATGCCCGGCTGCAGCTCTGTGTCCACCCTGGTGGCTGAGGCCGCTCGCATGTGGAACCTTATAGTGGTGAGTGTGGCTCTACTGTCTGTCTGTCTGTCTGTCTGTCTGTCTGTCTGTCTGTCTGTCTGTCTGTCTGTCTGTCTGTCTGTCTGTCTGTCTGTCTGTCTGTCTGTCTGTCTGTCTGTCTGTCTGTCTGTCTGTCTGTCTGTCTGTCTGTCTGTCTGTCCGTCCGTCCGTCCGGATGTAATGTGTGTCTGAATGTCTGCATCGCCTTCTCATTTTAACACAACTTCCTCAAATTGATTTTGGGGGAAATTGTCGAAATTTAAGGATAATACTTGAAGTACACCTGAAGTATTTCATTACACTAGCAGACTAGTGGTGTCTAGAGGGAGGTTGATTCAGAGTCATAGCTAGCAGACTAGTGGTGTCTAGAGTGAGGTCGATTCAGAGTCATAGCTAGCAGACTAGTGGTGTCTAGAGTGAGGTTGATTCAGAGTCATAGCTAGCAGACTAGTGGTGTCTAGAGGGAGGTCGATTCACAGTCATAGCTAGCAGACTAGTGGTGTCTAGAGGGAGGTTGATTCAGAGTCATAGCTAGCAGACTAGTGGTGTCTAGAGGGAGGTTGATTCAGAGTCATAGCTAGCAACTAGTGGTGTCTAGAGGGAGGTTGTTTCAGAGTCATAGCTAGCAGACTAGTGGTGTCTAGAGGGAGGTTGATTCAGAGTCATAGCTAGCAGACTAGTGGTGTCTAGAGGGAGGTTGATTCAGAGTCATAGCTAGCAGACTAGTGGTGTCTAGAGGGAGGTTGTTTCAGAGTCATAGCTAGCAGACTAGTGGTGTCTAGAGGGAGGTTGATTCAGAGTCATAGCTAGCAGACTAGTGGTGTCTAGAGGGAGGTTGATTCAGAGTCATAGGTAGCAGACTAGTGGTGTCTAGAGGGAGGTTGATTCAGAGTCATAGCTAGCAGACTAGTGGTGTCTAGAGGGAGGTCGATTCAGAGTCATAGCTAGCAGACTAGTGGTGTCTAGAGGGAGGTTGATTCAGAGTCATAGGTAGCAGACTAGTGGTGTCTAGAGGGAGGTCGATTCAGAGTCATAGCTAGCAGACTATGGTGGTCTAGAGGGAGGTTGATTCAGAGTCATAGCTAGCAGACTAGTGGTGTCTAGAGGGAGGTCGATTCAGAGTCATAGCTAGCAGACTAGTGGTGTCTAGAGGGAGGTTGATTCAGAGTCATAGCTAGCAGACTAGTGGTGTCTAGAGAGAGGTTGATTCAGAGTCATAGCTAGCAGATTAGTGGTGTCTAGAGGGAGGTTGATTCAGAGTCATAGCTAGCAGATTAGTGGTGTCTAGAGGGAGGTTGATTCAGAGTCATAGCTAGCAGACTAGTGGTGTCTAGAGGGAGGTTGATTCAGAGTCATAGCTAGCAGACTAGTGGTGTCTAGATGGAGGTTGATTCAGAGTCATAGCTAGCAGACTAGTGGTGTCTAGATGGAGGTTGATTCAGAGTCATAGCTGAGCTCCAGGTAGTTGGCAACACCTGAGTGCCCCTCTCTGTGAGCTCTACTGGCACCTGGCAGAGACCTGACAGGGAAGCACACACCTCAGAGCCACTTAGCTGAGGGAGGGAAGCACACACCTCAGATCCACTTAGCTGAGGGAGGGAAGCACACACCTCAGATCCACTTAGCTGAGGGAGGGAAGCAGTCCAAGGGCTCTGAACTAGGCACAGGAAGAGAGAGAGAGAGAGAGAGAGAGAGAGAGTGAGAGTGAGAGTGAGAGATGAGAGAAGAAGAAGAGATAGAGCTAAGAGCGAGACTGAGATACAGCAGAGATACAGAGAGAAGGTCGAGAGATCTCGATATCTCGTTCATCGTTCTTTCTCTGCTCTCTCTCTCTCTCTCTCTCGTCTCTTCTCTCCTCATATCTCTCTCCTCTCTCTCTCCCTCTCTCTTCTCTCTCTCACTCGTTCGCCTAGATACCCTCCTCTCCACTTATGCTGTGCAGGAACATAGGATAGGAGTAGTCCAGCCTAGATGAAAGGGAAGCGTTCCAAGGCTTCTAAACTACAAGGCCTAAATGCCAAATAAGAAGTGGCAAGGAAGTCAGAGGGAATAATAACACTGGTCCGTCTGTCTCAGTGTTTGAGTTCCAAATGGTACCCTAGTGTACGACTTTTGATGAGGGCCCATACCATTTGCCTCTCACATTTGACAGCTAGTATAGTGCCCTGAAAGATCTTGAAATTTCCCAAATTACATTTTATGTCCACTGTCCAGACATGAGACACCCTTTACCTATTACTGTATGTCTAGACTGCATAGACACCTTCATGGAGGGATACAGGAATAGCAGGCTGATATTTGGGAGTTGTTATTACACAGTATTTGTGTCACTCTCCACTTTTAGAAGCTACAGTATGAAGTGCACTCTCAGAAAAAGTTTCATTTTTCATACACGGTGCTATTTTGGTGTCATAAAGAGCTGTCCACACATCAGACTTTTTACCCATATTCCCCTGTAGTGGACGTATGGCTGATAGAAGGATCTATTATACTGGGATATGGCTGAGGGATATTCTAGCAGGACCTAATATACTGTAACATGGCTGAGGGATATTCGAGCAGGACCTAATATTCTGAGACATGGCTGAGGGATAATCTAGCAGGATATATTATACTGGGACATGGCTGAGGGATATTCTAGCAGGATCTATTATACTGGGACATGGCTGAGGGATCTTCTAGAAGGATCTAATATACTGGGACATGGCTGAGGGATATTCTAGCAGGATCTAATATACTGGGACATGGCTGAGGGATATTCTAGAAGGATCTAATATACTGAGACATGGCTGAGGGATATTCTAGCGGGATCTATTATACTGGGACATGGCTGAGGGATCTTCTAGAAGGATCTAATATACTGGGAAATGGCTAAGGGATATTCTAGCAGGATCTAATATACTGGGACATGGCTGAGGGATATTCTAGAAGGATCTAATATACTGAGACATGCCTGAGGGATATTCTAGAAGGATCTAATGTACTGGGACATGGTTGAGGGATATTCTAGAAGGATCTAATATACTGGCACATGGCTGAGGGATATTCTAGAAGGATGTAATATACTGGGACATGGCTGAGGGATATTCTAGAAGGATCTAATGTACCGGGACATGGCTGAGAGATATTCTAGAATGATCTAATGTACTGGGACATGGCTGAGGGATATTCTAGAAGGATATAATGTACTGGGACATGGCTGAGGGAGATGAACCAAACATAGATGTGCTTTGACTTGATTGTGTGAACCCCAATTTCCCTCTTTTTAGTCTTCTTCTTCTTTCTTCTTTTCTTCTTCTTTCTTGCTTTCTTCTTCTTCTTCTTCTTCTTTCTTCTTTTCTTCTTTCTTCTTCTTCTTCTTCTTCTTCTTCTTCTTCTTCTTCTTCTTCTTCTTCTTCTTCTTCTTCTTCTTCATCATCCTTCATGTTCTCTCTTCCTGCTATCTTTGTACCTCATGAGGACACCCTAACACTCTTTTCTTTCTCCCGTTGTCCTCTCTCCTCTCCTCAGTTATCCTATGGTTCTAGTTCTCCAGCTCTCTCCAACCGTCAGCGCTTCCCAACGTTCTTCCGTACCCATCCGTCTGCCACCCTCCACAACCCCACCAGGGTTCAGCTCTTTCAGAAGTGGAAATGGACTAAGATCGCCACCATCCAGCAGACTACGGAAGTCTTCACCTCAGTGAGTGACAGGCATCTTTTAAAATATATATATTTTTAGTATTTTATTGTTTTGTAGAGGGGAGACAGATACAGAGGAAGACCGAGAGGAAGGGTTGAGATGGGATTCATACCAACCTTGCCATGGGTATATGTGGCCTGTGGGGCTAATCATCCTACCAGACTCCGGCACACCAAGCCCCTTTCTCAGTAAGGTGTTTTAGACTTATGGTCTGTTTGTTAACTTTTATCATTTATACTATTGGTTAAAGACATGCAGAGTACAGACACCAGAAAAAAAGATCTAGTGACAGATGAAATAGATTCTAATTTCTCATTTCCTCTCCTACTTATCACAATCTTCATCAAACCGCTTCTCACTTTCTCTGTACCTTCTGTCTATCTGCTGTCTCCTCTTCCTGTCTTCCCCCACCTTGCTTCTTGGCAACATCATCATCATCTACCCTGTCCTCTTCCTCTTCTCCTCCTCCTTTCCCCCTCCTCTCCCCCTCATCTCTCCTCCTCCTTTCCCTCCTCTCCTCTCCCTCCTCTCCTCCCTCTCCTCTTCTCCTCTCCCCTCCTCTCCTCTCCTCTCCTCTCCTCTCCTCTCCTCTCCTCTCCTCGCCTCTCCTCTCCTCTCCTCTCCTCCTCTTCCCTCCTCCTCTCCTCCCCCTCCTCTCCTCTCCTCTCCTCTCCCTCCTCTCCTCTCCTCCCCCCTCCCCTCCTCGTCCTCTCCCTCCCCCTCCTCCCTCTCCTCGCCTCTCCTCTCCTCTCCTCTCCTCCCCTCCTACCCTCCTCTCCCTCCCCTCCTCTCCCTCTCCTCTCCTCTCTCTCACTCTCCTCTCCCTCTCCTCTCCCTCCCTCCTCTCCCTCCTTCCCCCTGCCTCTCTCCTCGCTCTCTCCTCTCCTCTCTCTTTCTCCTTTCCCCCCTCCTCTCTCCCTCCTCTCTCCCTTTCCCGCCTCCTCCCTCCCTTTCCTCCCTCCTCTCCTCCCTCCCTCCCCACTCCTCTCCTCTCCTCTCCTCTCCTTCCTCCCTCTCCTCTCCTCCTCCCTCTCCTCCTCCTCTCCTCTCCTCTCCTCTCCTCGTCTCTCTCCTCCCCCCTTTCTCCTCTCCTCTCCTCTCCTCTCCTCTCCTCATCCTCTCCTCCTCCTCTCCTCTCCTCTCCTCTCCTCGTCCTCTCCTTTCTCCGCCTTCTCAGTCCCTCTCCCCCCCCCTTCTCCTCCTCTCCTCTCCCCCTTCTCTCCCTCTCCTCTCCTCATCCTCTCCACCCTCCTATCCTCTCACCCTTCTCTACTCTCCTCTGCCCCTCCTCTCTTCCCCTCCTTCTCTATCCCTCTCCCCCGCACTTTCAACTATCTCTCTCTCTGTCTCTCCCCCCTTCCCATATCTCTGTCTCTTTCTCTCCCTTCCTGCCACCATCTCTCTGTCTGTGTGTCTGTCTGTCTGTTCTGTCAAGACATGTTGTAAAGAAAATAATAAACAAAGCTTGAATTGCATCTGAATCAAGTGAGTGCCTGCCCTGTTTTCATGTTTTATCTCTCCATCAGACGCTGGATGATCTAGAGACGAGGACCAAGGAGGCCGGGATAGAGATCAGCGTTCGCCAGAGCTTCCTCACCGACCCCGCCCCAGCTGTCAAGAACCTCAAGGTGCCTCCTTCACTTCCTGTCTCCCTCACCTCTCCCTCCATCCATCCATCCTACCCTCCCTTTCTCTGTCTGTCTGTCTGTCTGTCTGTGTCTGTCTGTCTGTCTGTCTGTCTGTCTGTCTGTCTGTCTGTCTGTCTGTCTGTCTGTCTGTCTGTCTGTCTGTCTGTCTGTCTGTCTGTCTGTCTGTCTGTCTGTCTGTCTGTCTCTCTCTCTCTCTCTCTCTCTCTCCCTCTCCCTCTCTCCCTGGTTTATCCCCAATGCTGCCTTGGCAACTGCCAGGTGATTGAACACATGAGATCAATCACGTCTGAGCTTGGTAAACAAACCCCAGAGAGCCTCTCACACACGCTAGTGATGCATGGGTTGACTCATATCCTGCAGTCCCCACGGTTATATCTGCTGTGATATCTGCTGTGATATCTGCGGTGATATCTGCTGTGATATCTGCTGTGATATCTGCTGTGATATACTTATTTCCCTCATTAAAATGCAAATCAATTTATAAAATTTTTGACATGCGTTTTTCTGGATTTTTGTTGTTGTAAGTCTGTCTCTCACTGTTCAAATAAACCTACCATTAAAATCATAGACCGATCATTTCTTTGTCAGTGGGCAAACGTACAAAATCAGCAGGGGATCAAATACTTTTTTCCCTCACTGAATCTGCGGTTATATCTGCGGGCGTGCGGGTTTAGGGTCATAAAATATTGTGTGGATGAAGGGCGGGTAGGTGGCGGCGGGTTGAACAAAGAGATCTATAGGCTACATTGAGGTTTTTTAATTTCATTATTTTAGGCTATCTGGCGTTAGTGTGTGAGCCTGAGCTGTACGCGCGCCAAATGGCCTACATGCCAATCGCCAAATGCTTTTGGGAACGGCCCGAAAAAGTTAACGTCGATCCACGGAGACGAAAAGGACAATGTTGGAGTTTAATTCAATAAGGGAAAAGCTGTGAAATGGAGAGTTGAAGACAAAGAGAAGGGAAGGACTGAAAAGTCATGTTTGGGAAAGAGTTGTTGAAGTGGTAAAAGAGGATGATAGCAGCCGGCTATGTTACTGTGAGGCCAAATAGGCCTATGGTACGTCAAGGGAACTGTAGCCTACTTTTCAGATGGGTTAAATGGAAACTGAAATCTGGACACTGACTCTAGGTCTATAGCCTCTCACTTAATATTATCTCCTGCAGAATGAAGCATTTCTTGCAGTAAAATGATACACCACATATAGGCTAAATTGGAGTGGAGAAATATGATTTCTTTCTTTCAGCATCTTGAGAGAATGCTAATGCGCAGTTAGATACCATCTGCAGAGGCGTTATCTTTATCAGCATCATAAAAGCTGATAGTATTTCAACAACATAAAATATGCATCCAAGCCGAACTGAAATCTTATCAGAAACATGTTGGGTCGTTTTCACAGCTTTCTATTTCCTTACAACCAGTCACACTGATGTCATTTGGCACAGAAAATATATATATATATATATTTTTTTCTGTTATTGCATTTTTCTCCCCGGTCCCTAAACTTATTTGCTCCGCAAAATAAGCAGATGACAGAGAACTTTACAGATGTCAACTAGATTGAAGCATTCATTCTAATGATTTAAGACGTTATTCTGTTGAGCAAGAGATTATTTAGTCTTCTGGGGCAACATATAATGACAGAAGAGAAGCTGCATGTATCTAATTAGAGACAAGTTGACTAACAAACAGCCTACAAATAGTCGTAAATTATAAGCAGAAACATATCTAAATGACCTCCTGTCAAAAAGTAATTCCACTGTCTCTGACTGTAGTCTACAGTGCATTTTCTATATTACCAGTTTAGGGTCAGGTGAGGGCCTCAGATTTTCACTTTAACACAAATAGTTGGGCTGTTGAGGATGGGTTATAGCATTGGGTTGACCACCCTCTACCCCCTCCACCTCTGTTCTCCCTCCCTCCCTCCCTCCCTCCCTCCCTCCCTCCCTCCCTCCCTCCCTCCCTCCCCCTCCCTCCCTCCCTCCCTCCCTCCCTCCCTCCCTCCCTCCCTCCCTCCCTCCCTCCCTCCCTCCCTCCACCTGAACGTTCCCCTCCCTCCCTCCCTCCCTCCCTCCTCCACCTCAACGTTCCCCTCCCTCCCTCCCTCCCTCCCTCCCTCCCTCCCTCCCTCCCTCCCTCCCTCCCTCCCTCCCTCCCTCCCTCCCTCCCTCCCTCCCTCCCTCCTCCACTTCAACGTTCCCCATCCCCCCCCCCTCTCTCCCTCCTCCACCTCAACGTTCCCCATCCCCCCCTCCCTCTCTCCCGCCTCCACCTCAACGTTCCCCATCCCTTCCCCCTCATCCTCCCCTCCCTTGTTCCTTCCCTCCTCCTCCGGTGTCAGCTTGGCTGTCTTCCTGACTGGCGCCTGTTCAGCGTAACCTTTCCTGTCGTGCCGGCCTAGGTGGGCATCGCTGTAGGAACCATGGTAACAACATGAGCCAAGGTTCTTAATCGGTCTAGGTTTTTGTGTGATATTAATCGGTCTAGGTTTTTGTGTGATATTAATCGGTCTAGGTTTTTGTGTGATATTAATCGGTCTAGGTTTTTGTGTGATATTAATCGGTCTAGGTTTTTGTGTGATATTAATCGGTCTAGGTTTTTGTGTGATATTAATCGGTCTAGGTTTTTGTGTGATATTAATCGTTCTAGGTTTTTGTGTGATATTAATGGGCCATCGCTGTAGGAACCATGGTAACAACATGAATTTAGCACACCAGAGGGGAAGATGAGTTGTGCTGCGTGGTGCGTTGCGTTTGGGTATTGGGAGGAGATGTGTGTGTGTCTGTCTGTGGAGACAGTGTGTGTGTGTAGAGCCCGAACCATACGTTTTTTTGAAGTCCGATACCGATTCAGATTTTTTGGGGACAAAACTACCGAAATATCTGCTGATTTGCTGTAGATATGAAAAAGTGTAATAAACTGAATTCTCATAAATTGCCATCCAAAAGAGCAATTGTCCAATAACTATGCTTCAAATGTTGATTTCAGACATTGTGACAATGACACATCATGAGAATGAGATTCCTTTTTTCATCCTTTGGTCCTCTGTAGCTCAGCTGGTAGAGCACGGCGCTTGTAACGCCAGGGTAGTGGGTTCGATTCCCGGGACCTCCCATACGTAAAAATGTATGCACACATGACTGTAAGTCGCTTTGGATAAAAGCGTCTGCTAAATGGCATATTATTATTATTATTATTGAATATCGGTTATCAGTGGAGTTATCGGCCGATACCGATATAGCGTTAAAAGGCTGATATATCGGTCAGGCTCTATGTGTGTGTGTGTGTGTGTGTGTGTGTGTGTATGTGTGTATGTGTGTATGTGTGTATGTGTGTGTGTGTGTGTGTGTGTGTGTGTGTGTGTGTGTGTGTGTGTGTATGTGTGTGTATGTGAATGTGAATGTGTATGTGTGTGTTGTGTATGTGTGTGTGAATGTGTATGTGTATGTTTGTGTGTGTGTGTTGTGTATTCCCGTCCCCTGTGTGACTCTGTGTAACTCTTCCCTCTCTGAATCCCCAGCGGCAAGATGCCAGAATCATTGTGGGGCTCTTCTACGAGACGGAAGCCAGAAAAGTTTTCTGTGAGGTACAGAAGCTATGTTTGCCGTTCACAAATTGGTTACACAACTCTGTGGTTTGATACAGTATCTTAAAATGTCTGTTGAATGACGATATCCTTTTTTGTGTCTCCTTGGAAAAGTTTGATACCAGCTTGTATTGCTCAACACTCGCGTCATTCTATCTAGATTTTCAGTATTTTTTCTCTGTCACTTTTTGTTATTTCTTCTTCCTGATATATTCTGACTGCTCTTCTCCTCCTTTACCTCTCTCTCCTCTCTCTCTCTCTCTCTCTCTCTCTCTCTCCTCTCTCTCTCTCTCTCCTCTCTCTCTCTCTCTCTCTCTCTCTCTCTCTTCTCTCTCTCTCTCTCTCTCTCTCTTTATCCTACAGGTGTACAAGGAGAAGCTCTATGGAAAGAAGTATGTGTGGTTCCTGATTGGTTGGTATGCAGACAACTGGTTCAAGATCAAAGACCCGTCAATCAACTGCACCGTCGAACAGATGACAGAGGCGGTGGAGGGCCACGTTACCACGGAGATCGTCATGCTCAACCCAGAGACCGTCCGAGGGGCCTCCAATCTGGTGAAGAGTGCACTCATGTATAGAGAGATATATTACTACATGGGTGCATCCCAACTGGTACCATATTCCATATATAGTGCACTGCTTATGGGCCCATAGGGAATATATAGGGAATAAGGGGTCCTGGTCAAAAGTAGTGCACTATATAGGGAATAGGGTTTGCCCATTCATTCTAAACAGCTGTTAATGATGATTTCGCCCAAATTACACTACAGTGTCTTGGAAATACGATGACATTGATAAAGTAGGCAAATAATTAGTGGGAAACAACTTGGTCATCATTATGATGTCGTCAGATTTACTTAAGACAGATGACAATGTTGCCATTAGCTAGCAAAGATAGCTAAAAATAGATTAGTTAGCTAACGTTACTACATCTGACGTCAATCTGACGACATCGCAATGATGACTAAATGTTTTCCTGTTAATTACTTACTTCCTTGTTTCCAAGTCAGGTAAAAGGACAACATCTTAATCAGCGCTAATCGAGAACGTTCAGTCGGACCGCCTAGAACTTTCAGTGATGTATTGACGTAAAGCTCATGAATAGTGCGCTACTTTTGACCACTACCCTAATGGGCCCTGATCAAAAAGTAGTGCGCTATGTAGTGTATAGGGCGCCATTTTGGATGCGTCCTTTGACGTTGTCCCAGTTCCCTCCCTAGTGTAATGACCCTCTTTAATTCATACTGCCGTGACTGGAGAGGAGAGGAGCTTCCGGATGCTCTTCAACTGTATTATTATCCGTCTGCTTTGAAGTTTTACCTTGTAGAAGAAAAGCTTTGTGCTCGAGAGAGAGAAGCGTTCGAGTGCTGCAAACCGGTTTCTCTCTCTTTTAAGTCTCGGCTCTGAATTATCGTCATTGCCCTGTAGAGTAGCTGGAGAAAATATAACTCTTGTAGAAGTAATAGACTTTTTGTTATTGTTCATTTTTCCTCGTTCACGCTACACTGGGGGCTGTGCTGTCTGGAGGTGCTGAAGAGGCAGAGAGGGAGAGAGACTAGATGATGCATCCCAAATGGCACTGTTTACCTACGGGCCCTGGTCAAAAAGTAATAGAGAATAGGGTGTCAGTTGGGACGCCGCAGCCTAGCGAGGCCAGAGAGTCGTCTCTTATTGATCAAAGCCCCATTTGGTGACGAGGCTGCGGTTGTCATGGCGACGGTTCTCCAGGGGGCTGCTGCGGCTTTGACGGATCCAGCTGCTCGATGCAGCCCGGAGCCGAGGGAAGGGGGGGAGTGCAAGGCATGTCTATAAAACATGATCTCCAAAAAAAACTATAGTTGAAAATTAAATGTTTGTTCAAGGCAGTTAAACATACTGAGGTGACGTTTGTGTATTTGTGTGTGTGTGCCTGAGTACATGTCTGTGTGTTACTATGTTGTGGATAAGTAGACACACACACAAGCCCTCAACACACACGAGCCCTCAACACACACAAGCCCCCAAGAGTTTCTTCTTAATAATAATAATAATAATAATAATAATAAGAATAACAGTTTCTTCTTAACAATGTATTCCAAACACAGCTCTGCTCTCCCTGTCTGTGGAATAAAAATGACTATTGTTCATCAGTCTTCTCCAGAGTAATTACATGGAGCTCCTGATGCCAGGTCACAACCCCCCCCCACCCCCCCGCCCCCGCCTTCCCCCCCCCAAAGGGGGAACGTTTTCTGGGCTGCGCCCAAAGGTCCCTTTTAACCAACCCCTGGAAAAGGTAAAAAAGGGAAATACCATTTAAAACCTATTAAAAATGTTTGTCCCCTTCTCCCCCAACGGGGTGGGCAAAGGGGGGCAGGGGGGGTTTGGGGGGGGGGGAAAAAAAAAGTAGTTTTTTAAAAAAAAGGGGGGTTTTAAAGGGGGTTTTTTAAAAAAAATTTTTCCCGGGGGGGAAAAAAAGAGGTAGTAAAAAGGGGCTCCCCAGGGGGGGCCCCGGGGAAAAAAACCCCCCGTTTTAAAAAAAAATTTTCAGGGGGGGGGGGGGGGGGGGGAAAAAAATTTAAAAAAAAAAAAAAAAAAAAGGGGGGGGAAAAAACCCCGGGGGGAAAAAAATTTAGGGGGAAACCCGAGAAATTTTTTTTTTTTCCCCCCCCCCCCCCCCCTTTTTTTTTTTCCCCCCCTTTTGCCCCCGGGGCAGGGGAAAATTTTTCCCAGAGATCAGGTAGAAAAGGGCCCAAAAAGGGAGAAAGAAACCCCCCCCTTTCCCTTTTCCCCCCCCCCCTTCCTTCCCCCCGGGCCCGCCCCCCCGGGTTGAAAATTTCCCTCTCTTAGCTAGACAGGGGATTCTGGGAAAATATTCTCTCTCTCTCCATTCAGGATAAGCTATAAAAAACACAACTCAGCCCCTCTCTCACTTTTTTACAGGAGGGGAACATGAAACATAGGAAACTGATTTTTCCCCCATTTCATAGGGAACATGAAGCTATGGAAACTGATTCCCCATTTTCCATCAGGCAAATAAGCTTGGAAAAAGTTTCCCCTTTCATCGGCAACATGAAATATGGAACTGATTCCTCCTTTCATCAGGCAAAATCAACAATGGAAACGATTTCCATTTATCACCAGAAACAATTTTGGAAACGATTTTATCATCCAATGAACATATGGAAAAAAGATTTCATCTCACTGAAGCATTGGAAATGATTTCCGTTTTTCAAGGGAACATGAAGCATTGGAAAAAATTTTCCCCATTTCATCAGGGAACTGAAGCATATGGAAAATGATTTCCTCCATTTATCAGGAACATAACAAAAGGAAACATTTCACAGTCAACATGAAAAATGGAAAAAATGATTTCCCCCCCCATTCATGGCAACAGACGCAAGGAAACTGATTTCATCAGTCAACATGACACATATGGAAACTGATTTCCTCCGTTTCATCAGGCAACATGAAGCATATGGAAACGGATTTCATCAGTCAACATGAAGCATATGGAAACTGATTTCATCAGTCAACATGAAGCATATGGAAACTGATTTCCTCCATTTCATCAGGCAACATGAAGCATATGGAAACTGATTTCCTCCATTTCATCAGTCAACATGAAGCATATGGAAACTGATTTCCTCCGTGTGTGTCAGCTAATGAACGCTGCTCTGCCACCAGGTGGCCCTCGACATTGTTATGTAGAGGGCGTTTATTTGGAACGGCATCTCCCCTCGCGCGGCGGAAATACGTGGTAAACAGCTTTGTCAAAAGACTATCCAATCTTTCCAAAAAGTTTCCACATCAAGCTAAAGGGGAAAGAAAATGATGACTGTATTGAGCCAATTTACGAGGGTGTAGGGATCTTATCGTATATTAGACGTGCCCAATGCGAAAATGTTTTGGCACGGGGTAGAAAGTGGAACTCAGCCCAGACATAACAGCCTCCTGGGCCAACAGGGGGAGGGTGGATGAGTGCAGGAGGGCTGGGGTGCTGCCTGTGCTTGTCCCCTGGTGACATCCTAGCGAGAGCAGGAGAACATCTGGCCTGTACCCTGACAGACCCTGCCCCACTGGGAAACAGGATGTCAACCTGGTGCTCCCAGCTGTGCACACCGAGCCTCCCTCGCCACACACTTCCACCCCACCCCCCCTCTCCCACACACACACAGTTCTAAGCCCTCCTCTCTCTCTTCCTCCAGACGTCTCAGGAGTTTCTGAACCAGCTGATGTCTAAGTTGGGGGGTAAGAACCCAGAGGAGACAGGGGGTTTCCAAGAGGCCCCTCTGGCTTACGATGCAGTGTGGGCCCTGGCTCTGGCCCTCAACAAGACCGTTGGGCCCCTGAAGGCCAAGGGCCGCAGGCTGGAAGACTTCAACTACAACAACCGAGATATCACAGCCGAGATCTACCGCGCCCTCAACACCAGCTCATTTGAAGGAGTGTCAGTGAGTATGGAATATATAGCCTAACCGGGGGAAGAGGGAGGGGGGTGGAGAAGCTTGTGATTGTACTGGGAGAGAGATGAGAGAGAGACTGAGACAGAGAAAGAGAGAGAGAGATAGAAAGAGAGAGCGAGATAGAGAGAGACAGACCGATGGACAGAGAAATACTACCAGAACCCATTGGATTCTCCAATTACATTGAATGAACTACAGGACAAAATACAAACCCTTCAACCCAAAAAGGCCTGTGGTGTTGATGGTATCCTAAATGAACTAAATTAAATGATAAAATATACAGACCACAAATTCCAATTGGCTCTTTAACATCATCCTTAGCTCTGGCATCTTCCCCAATATTTGGAACCATGGACTGATCACCCCAACCCACAAAAGTGGAGACAAATTTAAACAATGTACTGAGCAAATTACCGTACGATAGACCACGTATTCACTCTGCACACCCTAATTCACAAACAAACAAAACAAAAGCAAAGCCTTCTCATGCTTTGTTCATTTCAAAAAAGCTTTTGACTCAATTTGGCATGAGGGTCTGCTATACAAATTGATGGAAAGCGGTGTTGGGGGAAAAACATATGACATTATAAAAGCCATGTACATAAACAAGAAGTGTGCAGTTAAAATTGGCAAAAAACACACACATGTGGGGTAAGACAGGGATGCAGCTTGAGCCCCACCCTCTTCAACATATATATCAACGAATTGGCGAGGGCACTAGAACAGTCTGCAGCACCCGGCCTCACCCTACTAGAATCTGAAGTCAAATTTCTACTGTTTGCTGATGATCTGGTGCTTCTGTCCCCAACCAAGGAGGGCCTACAGCAGCACCTAGATCTTCTGCACAGATTCTGTCAGACCTGGGCCCTGAGGATAAATCTCAGTAAGACAAAAATAATGGTGTTCCAAAAAAGGTCCAGTTGCCAGGACCACAAATACAAATTCCATCTAGACACCGTTGCCCTAGAACACACAACAAACTGTACATACCTCGGCCTAAACATCAGCGCCACAGGTAACCTCCACAAAGCTGTGAACGATCTGAGAGACAAGGCAAGAAGGGCCTTCCAGACATCAAAATAAATATACAATTTGACATCCCAATTAGGATCTGGCAAAAAAATTATAATAATACAAGCACCAAATTGAGACTGCATGCATCCTCAGTGTGCAACGTAAAGCACCAAATAATGCACTACCCGATAAATATCAAAATCCAGAAAAGAGCCGTTAACCCCCTAGACTCGATTGATGCACCGGGGCCCATCAAAATCCATCAGTTTAAGTTAGAGATGTCTGTTTTTTTTGCATTGGATGTGTCTCAATCTACCTCATCAATGTCGCACTTCCTCATCTGCGGTGAAAGGTGGCAGAGCTAGAGCGGTGTTTGTCAGACCACCCGAAAAAATCGGTCTTCTCACAAAAAACATCTGTAGTGTACGAATGGTTTGACCTACGAACTATTATGACCACTCTATAGAAAGGGGAGACTCCCACAAACACGATTGTGTTCTCCATTTTACATGTCCCACAAGTGTCACTGGACTCGTCTGAAGGTAACCGGTACCGGATTTTAAAAAAGTAATGGAAGTATGAAGGTAGTTTTGTGCCTACCCCAAAAAAGGGGTTATATATATGTGTAAAGAAAGGTTTTTGGGATATCTCCTAGATTAAAGACACACACTTCAAAACCTTGTTTCTTATGATACATTTTTTGACTGTCAGCTTTACCATTTATGAATGTGTTATTCAATGTGTTCCTATGCAAACAGAAATTTGCATCCTGTAGCACTAACTCCAAAACGTTTTGGGACACTGTAAAGTCCATGGAGAATAAGAGCACCTCCTCCCAGCTGCCCACTGCACTGAGGCTAAGAAACACTATCACCACCGATAAATCTACAATAATCGAGAATTTCAACAAGCATTTTGCTACGGCTGGCCATGCTTTCCACCTGGCTACCACTACCCCGGCCACCAGCTCTGCACCCTCCGCTGCAACTTGCCCATGCCCCCCCCCCGCTTCTCCCTCACACAAATTCAGACAGCTGATGTTCTGAAAAAGCTGCAAAATCTGAACCCCTACAAATCATCTGGGCTAGACAATCTGGACCCTTTCTTTCTAAAAATAGCCGCCGAAATTGTCGCAACCCGTATTACTAGCCTGTTCAACCTCTCTTTCGTATAGTCTGAGATCCCCAGAGATTGGAAAGCTGCCGCGGTCATCCCCCTCTTCAAAGGGGGTGACACTCTAGATCCAAACTGTTACAGACCTACATACATCCTGCCCTGCCTTTTGAAAGTTTTTGAAAGCCAAGTTAACAAACAGATCACCGACCATTTCGAATCCCACCGTACCTTCTCCGCTATGAAATCCGGTTTCCGAGCTGGTCATGGGTGCACCTCAGCCACGCTCAAGGTCCTAAACGATATTATAACCGCGATCAATAATAGACAGTACTGTGCAGCCGTCTTCATCGACCTGGCCAAGGCTTTCGACTCTGTCAACCACCGCATTCTTATTGGCAGACTAAATAGCCTTGGTTTCTCAAATGACTGCCTCGCTTGGTTCACCAACTACTTCTCAGATAGAGTTCAATGTGTCAAATCGGAGGGCCTGTTGTCTGGACCTATGGCAGTCTCTATAGGGGTGCCACAGGGTTCAATTCTTGGGCCGACTCTTTTCTCTGTGTATATCAATGATGTCGCTCTTGCTGCTGGTGACTCTCAGATCCACCTCTACGCAGACGACACCATTCTGTATACATCTGGCCCTTCATTGGACACTGTGTTAACAAACCTCCAAACGAGCTTCAATGCCATACAACACTCCTTCCATAGCCTCCAACTGCTCTTAAACACTAGTAAAACTAAATGCATGCTCTTTAATCGAACGCTGCTGGCACCCGCCCACCCGACTAGAATCACTACTCTCGACGGGTCTGACCTAGAGTATGTGGACAACTACAAATACGTAGGTGTCTGGTTAGACTGTAAACTCTCCTTCCGGACTCACATTAAGCATCTCCAATCCAAAGTTAAATCTAGAATCGGCTTCCTATTTTGCATCAAAGCCTCCTTCACTCATGCTGCCAAACATGCCCTCGTAAAACGGACTACCCTACCGATCCTTGACTTCGGCGATGTCATTTACTAAATGGCCTCCAACACTCAACTCAGCAAATTGGATGTAGTCTATCACAGTGCCATCCGTTTTGTCACCAAAGCCCAATATACTACCCACCATTGTGACCTGTACGCTCTTGTTGGCTGGTCCTCACTACATATTCGTCGCCAAACCCACTGGCTCCAGGCCATCTATATATCACTGTTAGGCAAATCCCCGCCTTATCTTAGCTAATTGGTCACCATAGCAGCACCCACCCGTAGTATGCGCTCCAGCAGGTATATCTCACTGGTCATCCCCAAAGCCAACACCTCCTTTGGCTGCCATTCCTTCCAGTTCTCTGCTGCCAATGACTGGAACGAACTGCAAAAATCTCTGAAGCTGGAGACTCTTATCTCCCTCACTAACTTTAAGCATCAGTTGTCAGAGCACCTTACCGATCACTGCACCTGTACACAGCCCATCTGAAATTAGCCCACCCAACTACCTCATCCCCATATTGTTATTTATTTTGCTAAATTGTACCCCAGTATCTCTATTTGCACATCATCTCTTGCACATCTATCATTCCAGTGTTAATACTAATTGTAATTATTTTGCACTATGGCCTATTTATTGCCTTACCTCCATAACTTGCTACATTTGCACACACTGTATATATATTTTCTGTTGTATTTTTGACTTTATGTTTTGTTTTACCCCATATGTAACTCTGTGTTGTTGTTTTTATCGCACTGCTTTGCTTTATCTTGGCCAGGTCGCAGTTGTAAATGAGAACTTCCTGGTTAAATAAAGGTGAAATAAAATAAAAAATAAATACAAATATGGGCTTCAGTAGTAAAAAGCCAAAATCAATATTTTATCCAATATTTTTTAAAATACTTTTTGGATACCTAAAGGGGTCCTAAAGGTCAAAATCAAATAGCTTAATGATCCAGAGTATGACCATCTTAAAACAATTACATATGGCATCTTAGCGTTCACAAACAGACCCCATAGAGCCCCAGGACAGCAACACAATTAGACCCAACAATTAGACCCAAACAAATCATGAGAAACAGAAAGATAATTACTTACATTTTACATTATTACTTGACACATTGGAAAGAATTGACCAAATAACAGAGCAAACTGGAATGCTATTTGGCCCTAAACAGAGAGTACACAGTGGCAGAATACCTGACCACTGTGACTGACCCAAAATTAGGAAAAGCTTTGTACAGACTCAGTGAGCATGACTTTGCTATTGAGAAAGGCCGCCGTAGGCAGAACTGGCTCTCAAGAGAAGACAGGCTATGTGCACACTGCCCACAAAATGAGGTGGAAACTGAGCTGCACTTCCTAACCTCCTGCCAAATGTATGACCATATTAGAGACACATATTTCCCTCAGATTACACAGACCCACAAAGAATTTTAAAACAAATCCAATTTTGATAAACTCCCATATATATTGGGTGAAATACCACAGTGTGCCATCACAGCAGCAATATTTGTGACCTGTTGCCACAAGAAAAGGGCAACCAGTGAAGAACAAACACCATTGTAAATACAATCCATATTGATGTTTATTTATTTTCCCATTTGTACTTTAACTATTTGCACATTGTTACAACACTGTATATATACATAATATGACACTTGAAATGTCTTTATTCCTTTGAAACTACTGTTAATTTCTGATTGTTTATTTCACTTTTGTTTATTATCTATTTTACTTGCTTTGGCAATGTTTCCCATGCCAATAAAGCCCTTTGAGATTGAGTTGAAGAGAGAGAGAGAGAGAGAGAGAGAGAGAGAGAGAGAGAGAGAGAGACAGACAGTGACAGAGAGAGAGGGAGAGAGAGAGAGACAGAGACAGAGACAGAACAGAGAGAGAGAGAGAGATAGAGAGAGAGAGTCTCTCTCTCTTCTCTCCCTCTCTCTCTCTCTCTCTCTCTCTCTTCTCTCCTCTCCTACTCTCTCTTCTCTCTCTCTCTCGCTCTCTCTCTCTCTCTCTACTAGATAGAATATTCTCATTACTATTTTTGTTTTGTTTGCCTTTTTGTTGCTGTTAATGGTAATAAACCCATTTCATTAAACATTCAATTTGTAACTTATTAAATTAATTAATAATATTAACTTTAATTTAATTTAAATGAGGACTATCTCATTCATATTGTTGTTGTAGTTTGCTGTGGCTGTTGCCGTTACTGTAATCCCATTACCATTAACATTAATTTGTAATTATTAATTAATTAATTAATTATTATTTATTATTATTAATTAATTTAATTTAAATGAGACTATTCTCATTCATATTGTTGTTGTAGTTGCTGTTGCTGTTGCTGTTAATGGTAATCCCATTTCCATTAACATTAATTTGTAATTATTAATTAATTATTATAATTAATTAATTATTATTAATTAATTTAATTTTAATGAGACTATTCTCATTCATATTGTTGTTGTAGTTGCTGTTAATGGTAATCCCATTTCCACTACTACTATTATTATTATTGCTGTTGGTCCCACCATTTTTGTTGTATCTATACTTTGACAATGTAAGTAATTTTACTTGCCATGTCAATAAAGTCTATTGAATTGAATTGAGAGAGAGAGAGAGAGAGAGAGAGAGAGAGAGAGGAAGGTGTTAAAACAATAAAGATATAGATTATCTTCCTTCTTTCTTCCTACAGGGCCATGTTGTGTTTGACGCCCAGGGTTCTAGAATGGCCTGGACTCTTATTGAGCAGCTGCAAGGTACAGTACTCTCTCTATTCCTCCTGTGTACAATAAACCACAATCAGGCATTGGAAATGAAGAACATGTGCCCAACTAGAATGGTGACATAATGTCATTGGAAACATTGCATGGCACCTGGGCTTTTAAACTTTCTGGTCTACTAGCGTGGCTGACCAGTGCCCAAAATCCTTAAATTCCATCCCTGAGTCCATAATCATGGGTATCAACCAAATACACTGAGTGTACAACATACTAAGAACACCTGCTCTTTCCATGACATAGACTGACCAGGTGAATCCAGGTGAAATCTATGATCCCTTATTGATGTCACCTGTTAAATCCACTTCAATCAGTGTAGATGAAGGGGAGGAGACAGGTTAAAGAAGGATTTTTAAGCCTTGAGACAATTGAGACGTGGATTGTGTATGTGTGACATTCAGATTCAAGACTTAAGTGCTGGGTTATGGTCGTAGGTGCCAGGCGCACCGGTTTGTGTCAAGAACTGCAACGCTGCTGGGTTTTTCACACTCAACACTTTCCCGTATGTATCAAGAATGGTCCACCACCCAAAGGACATCCAGCCAACTTGACACAATTGGAGTCAACATGGGCCAGAATCCCTGTGGAACGCTTTCCACACCTTGTAGAGTCCGTGCCCCAACGAATTGAGGCTGTTCTGAGGGCAAAAGGGGGTGCAACTCAATATTAGGAAGGAGTTCCTAATGCTTTGTCCACTCACTGTATATGATCTATATGCAGTATACACAATGTAAAGTACGATAATCATTATCAAGAGTATCCTCTTACAGTACGTTCTGTCATTGGTTTCTGTGACTATATCAGTTGTCAAGTGTAGGGTTAGGTTTCTGTCCAGACACATACAGTGGGGAGAACAGTATTTGATACACTGCCGATTTTGCAGGTTTTCCTACTTACAAAGCATGTAGAGGTCTGTCATTTTTTATCATAGGTACACTTCAACTGTAAGAGACGGAATCTAAAACAAAAATCCAGAAAATCACATTGTATGATTTTTCAGTAATAAATTTGCATTTTATTGCATGACATAAGTATTTGATCACCTACCAACCAGTAAGAATTCCGACTCTCACAGACCTGTTAGTTTTTCTTTAAGAAGCCCTCCTGTTCTCCACTCATTACCTGTATTAACTGCACCTGTTTGAACTCGTTACTTGTATAAAATACACCTGTCCACACACTCAATCAAACAGACTCCAACCTCTCCACAATGGCCAAGACCAGAGAGCTGGCTGTGTAAGGACATCAGGGATAAAATTGTAGACCTGCACAAGGCTGGGATGGGCTACAGGACAATAGGCAAGCAGCTTGGTGAGAAGGCAACAACTGTTGGCGCAATTATTAGAAAATGGAAGAAGTTCAAGATGACGGTCAATCACCCTCGGTCTGGGGCTCCATGCAAGATCTCACCTCGTGGGGCATCAATGATCATGAGGAAGGTGAGGGATCAGCCCAGAACTACACGGCAGGACCTGATCAATGACCTGAAGAGAGCTGGGACCACAGTCTCAAAGAAAACCATTAGTAACACACTAATAATAATAATAATATGCCATTTAGCAGACGCTTTTATCCAAAGTCGTGCGTGCATACATTTTTGTGTATGGGTGGTCCCGGGGATCGAACCCACTACCTTGGCGTTACAAGCGCCGTGCTCTACCAGCTGAGCTACAGAGGACCACCACTACGCCGTCATGGATTAAAATCCTGCAGTGCACGCAAGGTCCCCCTGCTCAAGCCAGCTCATGTCCAGGCCCGTCTGAAGTTTGCCAATGACCATCTGGATGATCCAGAGGAGGAATGGGAGAAGGTCATGTGGTCTGATGAGACAAAAATATAGCTTTTTGGTCTAAACTCCACTCGCCGTGTTTGGAGGAAGAAGAAGGATGAGTACAACCCCAGGAACACCATCCCAACCATGAAGCATGGAGGTGGAAACATCATTCTTTGGAGATGCTTTTCTGCAAAGGGGACAGGACGACTGCACCGTATTGAGGGGAGGATGGATGGGGCCATGTATTGCGAGATCTTGGCCAACAACCTCCTTCCCTCAGTAAGAGCATTGAAGATGGGTCGTGGCTGGGTCTTCCAGCATGACAATGACCCGAAACACACAGCCAGGGCAACTAAGGAGTGGCTCCGTAAGAAGCATCTCAAGGTCCTGGAGTGGCCTAGCCAGTCTCCAGACCTGAACCCAATAGAACATCTTTGGAGGGAGCTGAAAGTCCGTATTGCCTAGCGACAGCCCCGAAACCTGAAGGATCTGGAGAAGGTCTGTATGGAGGAGTGGGCCAAAATCCCTGCTGCAGTGTGTGCAAACCTGGTCAAGACCTACAGGAAACTTATGATCTCTGTAATTGAAAACAAAGGTTTCTTTACCAAATATTAAGTTCTGCTTTTCTGCTGTATCAAATACTTATGTCATGCAATAAAATGCAAATTAATTACTTAAAAATCATACAATGTGATTTTCTGGATTTTTGTTTTAGATTCCGTCTCTCACAGTTGAAGTATACCTATGATAAAAATTGATAGAAATTGATAGATAAAAATTACAGACCTCTACATGCTTTGTAAGTAGGAAAACCTGCAAAATCGGCAGTGTCTCAAATACTTGTTCTCCCCACTGTATGTTCTGTGAGCCTCGTACAAATAGGGTCATAATATTGTAAAACAATTATACACTAAAGTGTTGGTCCCATGTTACATGAGCTGAAATTAAAGATTCCAGAAATGTTCCCATAATGCACAAAAAAAGCTTATTTCTCAAAATTTGTTTACATCCCTAGTAGTGAGCATTTCTCCTTTGCCCAGATAATCCATCCACCTGACAGGTGTGGCATATCAAGAAGCTGTTTAAACAGCATGATCATTACACAGGTGCACCTTGTGCTGGGGACAATAAAAGGCCACTCTAAAATGTGCAGTTTTGTCACACAACACAATGCCACAGATGTCTCAAGTTTTGAGGGAGCATGCAATTGGCATGCTGACTGCAGGAATGTTCACCAGAGCTGTGGCCAGATAATTGAATGTTAATTTCTCTACCATAAGCCGCCTCGAACATCGTTTTAGAGAATTTGTCAGTACGTCTAACCGGCCTCACAACCACAGACCACGTGTATGGGGTCGTGTGGGCGAGCGGTTTGCTGATGTCAACATTGTGAACAGAGTGCCCCATTGTGGCGGTGGGGTTATGGTATGGGCAGGCATAAGCTACGGACAATGAACACAATTGCATTTTATTGATGGCAATTTGAATGCACAGAGATACCATGATGAGATCCTGAGGCCCATTGTCGTGCCATTCATCCGCCGCCATCAATTCATGTTTCAGCATGAGAATGCACGGCCCCATCTCGCAAGGATCTGTACACAATTCCTGGAAGCTGAAAATGTCCCAGTTCTTCCATGGCCTGCATACTCACCAGACATGTCACTCATTGAGCATGTTTGGGATGCTCTGGATCAACGTGTACGACGGCATGTTCCAGTTCCCGCCAATAACCAGGAACTTCACACAGCCATTGAAGAGGAGTGCGACAACATTCCACAGGCCACAATAAACAGCCTGATCAACTCTACGCGAAGGAGGCAAATGGTGGTCACACCAGATACTGACTGGTTTTCTGATCCACGCCCCTACTTTTTTTTTAAAGGTATCTGTGACCAAAGGCAATCTTATTTATCGTGAAATCCAAGAAGGGCCAAGATTTTCATTGACGATTCCTTAGATGAACGGTACAAATTTTTGAAATGGCATTTGATATTTTACAGTTCACAGGAAAAAAAGAAATGACATGGTGCATAACAGTAAAGGCCTAACTCGCCTTCCAAAGCCCCATCGAAATAAATTAGTGAAACCCCGCTTGAATGGAGTTTCCAAGCAAGACGTTTGGGCCCTAGATCCTGAAAGAATAAATGAAGGGAGGAAAGAAAAAAAGGACAAAGGGAAGCAGGGGGCAACGAAAGGGAAAATAAGGAGGAAGAAAGGTGATGACGGGGGGGGGGGTTTTTTATGATGGGGACAACATTTAATAAAAAAAACTAATTTTTGGGGAAAGGGTTTGGGGGGTCCGAAGCGGAAAGGAGTTTGAGAGCCAGGCGGGAAGGAGGGGGGGGACATAGAGGAGAGTGAAAAGGAGAGAGAGGAGAGAGAGAGAGAGAAGAGAGAGAGAAGAGATAGAAGCAGAGAGAGAGAGAAGAAGAGAGAGAGAGAGATAGAAGAGAGAGAGAGATAGAGAGAGAGAGAGAGAGAGACCAATCCATATGGTGGCCTGGTCTGGTTGTTTTCTGGCTCCTATTCATTTTAATATTTCTCCCCTTTATTATAATTAGTCAGTCTCAAAGCACTGCATGTGCTTGTCTTAAATCAAATCAATTATTGTTGACTTCCATGGAGCAGTACTGTAGCCATGACGATAAGAGCCGGAGCAGGAAGAGTACTAGTAGTAAAATAACTAGAAATAGTTTTGAATGTATTTTGCCTTTGATGTTAATATGCCTACATCAGGCTCTAGCTGCCTGTGAGCAAGGCAGGGCAGTGAGGTGGTGTTCGTTGGTTTGGCTGGGTTTTGATCATTGATCATGTTCGATCTGTCTGCCGCTTTGTTTCTCCTCTGACGGCCTGCGTCAGTGTCTCTCATGTTGTCTCTCATGTTGTCTCTCATGTTGGGAACGCTCTTTGTTTTTGTGGCGGCTGATGAAAAATTAAGCTTGTTTTCCCAATCTCCTCTCTTCTCTGTTGCTTCCCCACTGTCCCAGAAAAGGAAGTGTTGTTTTGATTAATCATTTATTCAATACTAATTGGAGTGGGTTTTGCCCAGGGCAGTTTGGAGTGGGTTTTGCCCAGGGCAGTGGGTTTGGTTCTGGATGTAGTAGAGTGCAGTGCAGGCTAAGTGCCTCAGTCAGCCAGCAGCTACTGCATATCTACTGCATATCTACTGTATATCTACTGCATATCTACTGCATATCTACTGCATATCTACTGCATATCTACTGCATATCTACTGCATATCGACTGCATATCTACTGTATATCTACTGCATAACTACTGCATATCTACTGCATAACTACTGCATATCTACTGCATATCTACTGTATATCTACTGTATATCTACTGTATATCTACTGCATATCTACTGCATATCTACTGTATATCTACTGCATATCTACTGCATAACTACTGCATATCTACTGCATATCTACTGCATATCTACTGCATATCTACTGCATATCTACTGTATATCTACTGCATAACTACTGCATAACTACTGCATATCTACTGCATAACTACTGCATAACTACTGTATATCTACTGCATAACTACTGCATATCTACTGCATATCTACTGTATATCTACTGTATATCTACTGTATATCTACTGCATATCTACTGCATATCTACTGTATATCTACTGCATATCTACTGCATAACTACTGCATATCTACTGCATATCTACTGTATATCTACTGCATATCTACTGCATATCTACTGCATATCTACTGCATATCTACTGCATATCTACTGTATATCTACTGCATAACTACTGCATAACTACTGCATATCTACTGCATAACTACTGCATATCTACTGCATAACTACTGCATATCTACTGCATATCTACTGTATATCTACTGCATAACTACTGTATATCTACTGCATATCTACTGTATATCTACTGCATAACTACTGCATATCTACTGCATATCTACTGCATATCTACTGTATATCTACTGCATAACTACTGCATATCTACTGCATATCTACTGCATAACTACTGCATATCTACTGCATAACTACTGCATATCTACTGCATATCTACTCTATATCTACTGTATATCTACTTGCATATCTACTGCCTATCTACTGTATATCTACTGTATATCTACTGCATAACTATTGCATATCTACTGCATGTCTACTGTATATCTACTGCATATCTACTGCATATCTACTGCATATCTACTGTATATCTACTGTATAATCTACTGCATAACTACTGCATATCTACTGTATATCTAGTGTATATCTACTGCATATCTACTGCATATCTACTGTATATCTACTGCATATCTACTGCATAACTACTGCATATCTACTGTATATCTACTGCATAACTACTGCATATCTACTGCATATCTACTGCATATCTACTGCATAACTACTGCATATCTACTGCATATCTACTGTATATCTACTGCATAACTACTGTATATCTACTGCATATCTACTGCATATCTACTGTATATCTACTGCATAACTACTGCATATCTACTGCATATCTACTGCATATCTACTGCATATCCACTGCATATCTACTGTATATCTACTACATATCTAATGCATATCTACTGCATATCTACTGCATATCTACTGCATATCTACTGTAAAGTTACTGCATATCTACTGCATATCTACTGCATATCTACTGCATAACTACTGCATAACTACTGCATATCCACTGCATATCTACTGTATATCTACTACATATCTACTGCATATCTACTGCATATCTACTGCATATCTACTGTAAAGTTACTGCATATCTACTGCATATCTACTGCATATCTACTGCATATCTACTGTATATCTACTGCATAACTACTGCATATCTACTGCATAACTACTGCATATCTAATGCATATCTACTCTATATCTACTGTATATCTACTGCATATCTACTGCATATCTACTGTATATCTACTGTATATCTACTGCATAACTACTGCATATCTACTGCATATCTACTGCATATCTACTGTATATCTACTGTATATCTACTGCATATCTACTGCATAACTACTACATATCTACTGCATATCTACTGTATATCTACTGCATATCTACTGCATATCTACTACATATCTACTGCATATCTACTGTATATCTACTGTATATCTACTGTATATCTACTGCATATCTACTGCATATCCACTGTATATCTAATGTATATCTACTGCATAACTACTGCATATCTACTGCATATCTACTGCATATCTACTGCATATCTACTGTATATCTACTGCATAACTATTGCATATCTACTGCATGTCTACTGTATATCTACTGCATATCTACTGCATATCTACTGCATATCTACTGCATATCTACTGTATATCTACTGTATATCTACTGCATAACTACTGCATATCTACTGTATATCTAGTGTATATCTACTGCATATCTACTGCATATCTACTGTATATCTACTGCATATCTACTGCATAACTACTGCATATCTACTGTATATCTACTGCATAACTACTGCATATCTACTGCATATCTACTGCATAACTACTGCATATCTACTGCATATCTACTGTATATCTACTGCATAACTACTGCATATCTACTGCATATCTACTGCATATCTACTGTATATCTACTGCATAACTACTGCATATCTACTGCATATCTACTGCATATCTACTGCATATCCACTGCATATCTACTGTATATCTACTACATATCTAATGCATATCTACTGCATATCTACTGCATATCTACTGCATATCTACTGTAAAGTTACTGCATATCTACTGCATATCTACTGCATATCTACTGCATAACTACTGCATAACTACTGCATATCCACTGCATATCTACTGTATATCTACTACATATCTACTGCATATCTACTGCATATCTACTGCATATCTACTGCATATCTACTGTAAAGTTACTGCATATCTACTGCATATCTACTGCATATCTACTGCATAACTACTGCATAACTACTGCATATCCACTGCATATCTACTGTATATCTACTACATATCTACTGCATATCTACTGCATATCTACTGCATATCTACTGCATATCTACTGTAAAGTTACTGCATATCTACTGCATATCTACTGCACATCTACTGCATATCTACTGTATATCTACTGTATATCTACTGCATATCTACTGCATATCTACTGCATATCTACTGCATATCTACTGCATATCTACTGCATATCGACTGCATATCTACTGTATATCTACTGCATAACTACTGCATATCTACTGCATAACTACTGCATATCTACTGCATATCTACTGTATATCTACTGTATATCTACTGTATATCTACTGCATATCTACTGCATATCTACTGTATATCTACTGCATATCTACTGCATAACTACTGCATATCTACTGCATATCTACTGCATATCTACTGCATATCTACTGCATATCTACTGTATATCTACTGCATAACTACTGCATAACTACTGCATATCTACTGCATAACTACTGCATAACTACTGTATATCTACTGCATAACTACTGCATATCTACTGCATATCTACTTTATATCTACTGTATATCTACTGTATATCTACTGTATATCTACTGCATATCTACTGTATATCTACTGCATATCTACTGCATAACTACTGCATATCTACTGCATATCTACTGTATATCTACTGCATATCTACTGCATATCTACTGCATATCTACTGCATATCTACTGCATATCTACTGTATATCTACTGCATAACTACTGCATAACTACTGCATATCTACTGCATAACTACTGCATATCTACTGCATAACTACTGCATATCTACTGCATATCTACTGTATATCTACTGCATAACTACTGTATATCTACTGCATATCTACTGTATATCTACTGCATAACTACTGCATATCTACTGCATATCTACTGCATATCTACTGTATATCTACTGCATAACTACTGCATATCTACTGCATATCTACTGCATAACTACTGCATATCTACTGCATAACTACTGCACATCTACTGCATATCTACTCTATATCTACTGTATATCTACTGCATATCTACTGCATATCTACTGTATATCTACTGTATATCTACTGCATAACTATTGCATATCTACTGCATGTCTACTGTATATCTACTGCATATCTACTGCATATCTACTGCATATCTACTGTATATCTACTGTATATCTACTGCATAACTACTGCATATCTACTGTATATCTAGTGTATATCTACTGCATATCTACTGCATATCTACTGTATATCTACTGCATATCTACTGCATAACTACTGCATATCTACTGTATATCTACTGCATAACTACTGCATATCTACTGCATATCTACTGCATATCTACTGCATAACTACTGCATATCTACTGCATATCTACTGTATATCTACTGCATAACTACTGTATATCTACTGCATATCTACTGCATATCTACTGTATATCTACTGCATAACTACTGCATATCTACTGCATATCTACTGCATATCTACTGCATATCCACTGCATATCTACTGTATATCTACTACATATCTAATGCATATCTACTGCATATCTACTGCATATCTACTGCATATCTACTGTAAAGTTACTGCATATCTACTGCATATCTACTGCATATCTACTGCATAACTACTGCATAACTACTGCATATCCACTGCATATCTACTGTATATCTACTACATATCTACTGCATATCTACTGCATATCTACTGCATATCTACTGCATATCTACTGTAAAGTTACTGCATATCTACTGCATATCTACTGCATATCTACTGCATATCTACTGTATATCTACTGCATAACTACTGCATATCTACTGCATAACTACTGCATATCTAATGCATATCTACTCTATATCTACTGTATATCTACTGCATATCTACTGCATATCTACTGTATATCTACTGTATATCTACTGCATAACTACTGCATATCTACTGCATATCTACTGCATATCTACTGTATATCTACTGTATATCTACTGCATATCTACTGCATAACTACTACATATCTACTGCATATCT